CTAATTTTAGACTTCGCTGAGTCCATCTTGATTTCAGTATTCACCTTCCACTGCACTACCCTTTACTTGGCGTATCGTGTATCAGTTTCCTGGAATTTTGAGCTCAATTGTTGAAACATCGTAAGATGTGCGGATTTGAATTTAATCTTTCTGTGTCGACAGAAAGTAGTAGAACAGAGCAGTGAATTTTATGATTTGATATAGACGCTATACAGTACATGAACAGTGTTGTCATATCGGCGGAATTCCCGCCGTTTTCAGCGGATTTTGAACTCGTACGGCGGAAAAAAAATGAGTTTCGCGGACAGCGGAATAAACGGCTGGAATTAATAAAGTTAGTAAAGCATCAGTTTTCGTTAACCTCTATTACTAAGCTGTCTTGCACAGATGTATATTTTGAAAATTTCTAACTCCATGTTACTAGCAAGAATAAATAATATAATACTTATACAATAAATTATATACTACCTGAAATCAATTATTATTTTGCAAATTTTCACTTAAGTAATGCATTCTAAAAATTGAATTACAGGTTCAATAAAGCCACTACATTTCGCAACCATATTTTTGTTTCAATAGAATAAATTAATACATTTAAATATGTAAATATTAATTTATTTTACGTTTAGCGGATTTAGGCGGGAAATTTAAAACCAATTCAGCGGATTTTCGGCGGAAACTGAAACGAACATGGCGGAATCTCTCTAAACACATCTGGCAACACTGTACATTAACAGCTATAATTCTGTACCGTCTTTTGAAGCAGCTGGTTCTGCTAGAGAACTGATTGTGACACCCAGCAAAGGACAATACTGGGCAGAAAGCAGATGAACAATGAGCAAATCAGACGCCAGCTATCTAACGCTTTAAAAGAGTGTAAGGGACCAGAAAATTTTCGCTTGAATACAAATTTCATTGAACTTCGAAAACAATATTATGTAGTGAAATGATGTTTGTAGACAAGAGCCATTCGGCACAATATAAAATAGTTGAGACTGACACGTGTGGAGCTCTAATGGAAAAAAGTAGTGTAAGAACAAATTGAGATTCATTTACGGATTTAAAGCACTAAATTGTCACTTTTTTAAAATATTAATATATAGGCGTGCGTTTTAATGAATTTACTCACGATGCAAAGATTAGTTTTCTACCAGCAAAAGTGTTCGGAAGCCCGCTCCTGAATAAGACTGAACAAAATTGAAATCCTGTCTTTTTCGTCTCGAATAGGTTTCACTGTAATATATAAATGGCCACCCACCATATTCCATGACGCAGTGGCGATCCTCAGAACACTCGCAGGAAGGGATGCAACATCGATGACGATATTTTCAAAACAAAGACTTTTCGTAGAAACATTGTTTTATAAAACTATGACAAATTTTTGAAAGCCGATGTTTTGTTAGTGAATGAAAAAAAATCAAAATACATACGTTAAAATACTGACGTATATATAAATGTATTTAATAATATTGGATATCACTGTCAGTTCAGTGTTCGAACAACGTGAACTCTAATTGTAGAAACTTACTGAGTAGGCTACATCCCGCCCGAGAGATAGTTTCGTAAGCGGAGAGGTGGTCAACACAGGCACCGTAGGGTAGGACACCATCTTCCCTTCCCTTCTACGACGAACTGAGGAAGCTCTGACTCCACGAGATGTGTCCGCGCTGAAGTTTTCAGGGTTCAGATTTTCAGATTTCCATACTAAACTCGGTAAACGAACTGCAGATTTGATTTTTCTGCATTACTAACAAAATAGTAACTCGCTCTACCGCTGCTCCTACCACCACAAGCAAAAGGAGAGTTCAACAAAACGTGCGCAAATACATTTTCAGGTACAAAATTGCACGGATGTCCTCTCCTATTGCACCAATCTTAATCACCTTAGCCTAATAGACATTGGTCCTGGCGTGTGCGCGAAATTACAGCTGAAAAGTACCTTAAACACTGTTTTTACGACCGATATTTGAGATCGTTTTATTGAAGTGAATCCAATACTTTCCTTATTATAAAGGGAATAAAAAATAAAAATTACACTGGAAAGCTTAGCGGAAGAAAAAAGTTTCATTTTTTTGTTGCCATGAATCACTACTGAATGCTAGCGTAGGTGTGTACATAGGGGGAGGAGACCGTATAAAAATTCTTAAACGAGCTCCATAGCATTAAGTAAGAAATTTTGTTTCTGTACATTCGTCCCATCCCTGATTTTCTCGTTTTTTTTAACTGGAATTGCTATACGTTTGTGGAAACCATTTGACACCTGTAAATGGTAGAACATAAAATCGATTGAACTTTTAATTGTGTAATTAAACTTACAATTTCGTTATCCTTGTACGTAGAATGTTTGATCTATTTTCTAGTAAATGTCATATGTAAGTACAAAAGTTTAGTGGAAATGTAGTTGGTCCCTCCTATCTCCGGTTGCGTGCGCCTATGAATGTTTGTAAGGTACGGTGTGGTGTGGTGTTTCCCAGAGTTTGACGAGTTCGACATAAAATTATGGAAATTATTTTATGCCACCTTTACAGAAAATACGAGAAAGCTCCTGGTTTCGCAATACCGATGCGAATACACAGGAAACACGTGCGTGTTTTCTCGTCTGCGTGGCTGGTTTTCGTTCCTCCCCCGCTCACTGAATTCTCAGGCTTCACTCTCTTTGAATTCGCCAATGCATCACAAGAAACGCTTCTTTCAGTGACGTGTATATGTATGTCTAACTGTGCGCATTGTATGTGCAAATACATTCATCATTCCGAGTGGTAAAAAACACCATCTTCTCTTCGATGAACAAATGCTACTTTTTGCTGAGAAACGCTTCGTTTCTGCACATCACTATTTCGCTCCGTCTAATGTCCAGAAGGTTTCACTCCGAGGACAGTTCTAGGTATTGTCGAAGAACCCCCCCCCCCTTTTTCGGGTTCAAACGAAGAAAAAAGCACATTGTGAATTCACACACTCCGAAGGTAAATTACGACAGCACTGAATGGCGCCAGCGAGTGAGCCCGCTGTTACACAACATGGCGCTACCAATTTTTATGTAATTACACATTTTTTGTCTTTGTTTATTCGTGTCTCAAAATTATATTGACCAATCATGGCAATTTTAACTCAATTTCCAAATTTTTCGTTACATTATTTTGTACTATATTAAATATTTTCTTGTATTTTAAACATTTTGCAACACTTATTATTCTATCAATTTTCTTTAAATTCATTTCACTAAAAAATATTGAAGGAATTTTCTTTAAAAATTCTTAACTAGTGGTGCACGTACTTTCTCGCAAAATTACGCGAAAAGTTCTCAAATTTTTGAAACATTGTACGAGACCCTATTTCATAATCTATCTTTAAGGAACACATTTCATTCAGGTAAAAAATCTCTATCTTTAATATTTTAGTCATAGGAAGACGCTGAAAAAAGTTTGAATTTTGCAATTTTCGAAAAATCAGTTCTCAACGAACATGAGCACCATTCTCTTAGAAGTCTTTCACACAATCCAAAAAACAAAATTTTAATAAAACAGCAATTTTTTGAAAATGTCTCAGGGACATCATGCCCCAATATTAAAATATGTTTCAACTTTAAGGGACTACGACATCAATCAGATAGATTGGGGAATACCAATCTTGGAGAAAATCGACAGAACCAGCCGCTATACTTGGAATTTTATTTCTTGGTGCGTGAGGGCCTGTCTTCACGATGGAATATCTCACGGCATTTTGTGACTCTCTCGATCGTACTGCCAGATGTCGGATGATCGCCAGCACTGCTCGATACGGTCGCGATCATGCAACATCTAGCAGAACGACCAAAAAAGATGCGAAATGACGAGAGATATTCCAGACAAAGACCTCACGTGCCAAGAAATAAAGACGCAAGTATAGTGTTGTTCACAAGGCAGACAGACGCTTTGCCATCATTCAATTTTTTGGTATCAACGACACACAAAACATGGCTTCTGCCTTCACTACGTGTTAGAGGATTTTTTCTAAATTTAGTAACTGGATTTATCCACTCTCGTTATCAGGGCCCTGTAAAAAGAGTTAAAATCTGCCGAAAATTCGCCATTTTTTCGCGCAGCATTACAAAACTTCCTCTCTACTGCGTAAGCGGTAGCGTAGTAGGAGTTTTTAACTACTATTAATTTCAACACTTACCACAAGGTTTGGGGACATTCTTCCAAATTTAAATGCCAGATAGGATGGGAGGTATTAGAAACACGAGATTGTTTAAAATATTCAATTAACAAAATATATTTTAAAACAACTGATGTTCATGTATAAATATGCATGTCTGAGTTTTAAAGACAACTTGGCATGCATGAACAGTGAAATAAAACAAGCTCTCCAAGACAAGTCCACCACCAGATCGCAGAACTGAGAAGTCAAGGGATAAAGAAAAATCTATTTTCTACTTGGATTGTTGGGAAAACATTAATAGCAGATACTAAGACAATATTTTTTTTTCCAAATTCATAGCATTACACAAACCATGCACAAATTATTTCCATCTCACTAAGCCACTCAAATAATTAACCTTATAAAATTGCTTTGAGATTCCCTCTTTGCTGCTCATATATACAAAAAATCAATTGCATTTCATGAAAATATTCCATGAATTATCCCTTAATGGATTTGATTTTTGTGTTATGTTACCTCCTATATTGAAATGTTAAGTTTACATTTATATTTATAGCATAAATAAAGAACAACTATACCTCTCAGGTCTTTATTATCAGATCACAGGTTGCATGATCATACACATACAGTCAATATAATTAAAAAACAACACTTGTAAGCTTGCCATAAATACAATCCCACTTATCATAATAACCAGATGCTATTCAAATTTTGGCAGGTATAATGAAATATCTTTCACCATTTCAAAATCAGACTTGGCATTCAAAAGAAAACTTACTGCATAACAAGAACTCATTCAAACAAAGCAAACTCCCACTAAACACATTTATTTTGTTAAGAAATGGACACAAATACTTTACCTCAAATGCAAGCAATGGCTTCTCCTTGTCTTCTTTGTAATACTCAATGTTAATTGAAACAAATCCTCGCACAAAGCCTCTGAGAGACAGCAACACTTCCCGTTCGCCAGAATACAGAGAGAGGAATCCACCGTCTGTATCTATGGTTTGTTTAAACTTCAGAGATGGTATATATTCCACTACAATTGATTCAATATCACTTTGAAGTTGTTGTCGCTCCTCTGTAATAAATGAATTTACTCTTGAACTTTGCTACTGAAAATCTAATGATCAGAAGACTTATCATCAGAAAGCTATTTGAATAAACGGCTTACCAACATCAGAAATGCTAGTGGGATTCACAGTGAAATCCAACAATATGGTGTTAATTGCCATGATGAATCTTCTACAATTTTATATTTTTTTGCTGAAATTAAAATTAACAGACTCTTCATTGTTCAGAAGCAACAACAACTTACATGAAAGTAACTATAATTTATCAATATAATGAAAATCTACACTTGTCACAATAAACAACAAGTAGAAATAATAACAGTGAGAATGATGACAATGTCTAATGCATGATCCAGAAGGAAAGATTTTTGTTGGCATGGATTTCTACACCAAGTTCAATTTGCAGCACATGACAGCAAATTGCACATGCTGCAGTAAAAGCACTAATGGCCATTTGATATTCTACCCCTGAATGTGTTTGAATAAAAAAGAATCCAAAAATGAGCTGGTTCATGTTACACTATTGCAATATCAATATTAATAAGATATTTTCTGCTTGTTCTTTACATGTAAAATAAAGGAAAAGAAATAAATTATATCATATCTCATCCTCACCACTAATGTTAGAAGGCATAAGCTCCACATTCTGCAAGCTCGAAGACAGTGGGAAACTTTCGTTTCGTATCTTTCAATATTTGTACTCTTACTCAATTTTTGTACTTCTAGTGTCTAACTCTAGTCATTGATGAATTTCTGAACATTATAGAAGAGTTCCAGCAGAAGGTTCTGATAAAGTCAGTTTTGAAGCTATGAAATGTAATCCACCCTACCTGAGATGTTTTCAATAATTTGTTGAAAAATTGTATTCCTGCAGAATACACACATTTTTTGACTTAATATCCTTGTACACAATAGGTAACATAGTGTATTAATTTTGTTTAAGCTTGTCTTATCAAACATGAGAACATAGTTGAAAGGCATAATTGAATTCGCTCAATGCTGAATTAACAGATTTTAAATGTGAGTTCCTCTCAGAATTGAATTGTGTGGTGAATCCAAACAATTTTGCTTTCTGAGTTTGTGTGGCATGAAGCTCTTGCCTGATGATATAAAATTGTGTTGATATTGTATTGTGTGGGAGTTGTGAAATGGCATTGTGATTGATGTCTGTGTTTACAACTAGTTGTTATGGTGCTTCATTGAATTTGTTAGTCAGTTGCTGTGATAGCTGTATCTTCTAGAGCTTTGGATATTTCTTCTTTGACTATTATTTCATGTTGATTATTCACATTACTACTTCACTACATTACTTTTGCTATGTCACATTATACACATCCGTTACACATATCTACTTCATAGATAAATCTCGGGATAACTCTCACACAAACGTTTCAGTATCATTTTTCTTCCTTTCTATTTGGAGTTTTAATTTTTTCTTGTTGTATCACAATATTATATATCTGGCATTTTTGAATCTGTTTTTTATTATGTCAAATTTGGGAACAATCTCTCCAGTGATTCTGAATTTGTTTTTTGTCACTGTTGGTGTAGTTTTTATGTGTTACATTTCATTTTTATGTCATAAAAATAATTTCCAATTGAATATTTTGTTATTTCTTAGATAGAACACTGAGTTAAAAATTTGATAAAATTGTAAATTTGATAAATATGTACTTTCGTACATAAGTCACAGTAAATGTTAGTTTATCCTTAAGAATAAAAATTCAAGTTTAAAAGAAAATTCACAAAATCACTGTTTTCTTTATTAGTCAAGAAAGTTTCTAATTCAAACCACACACGAAACATGAACATTAATGTAAACCTTTAAATAAAAAAGTAAGTTATTATTAAGGAAGTAAATTATCCTGAAATATATAACAACTGCACGTAAAAACTGAGTGAAAAGTTAATGACATTAGAAATAATGGTCTCAAAGAAACAAATAGCCAGAGAGAGTTCAAACCTGTTAAAAAACCTGGTCTTGAAAGCAAAGTCACACAAATCTTTAAGAAATACCTCTGGAAAGGCTTTTACAAGGGAACTTACAATATGCTTAATTAACACGTCCGTGGAGAGATATTACCAATAAAATATCAAGTATCAGTTTTCACAAGATCATTTTATTTTATCATCAGGAGTTTTTAACCCATCTCCCCCCCAAAAAACGCATATTTCTGAACTCTTAAATATTGCGTAACCTCGAAGTAAAAATCATAAGAGCTAATACATTTTTCTCTGCAAAATATATAAATAAATGCATAAATACATTTTAAAAAATTAAAAGCAACATCAAATCAAATTAATGTTTTAGTGATGGGTAACCAGCATCCGGGCTTCTAACATTACATTAACACTTAGAAACATTTTCTTCGCAAAATACTCACGTGGTCAATTTCACACGTGCTCCAAGCTGCAATTTTTTTCTTATCTGCAAAGAGCAAATTTTGATTCTGATCAGGTGCAGGTGCAGGTGTACGAGATGTGATATATATATGATCGGCAATCAGGGTAACTCCTGAAAACACCACCAACTCCTCAGTCCTCACTCATCAATTCAAGCAGCTCGATAGTCGACCCGATGGCGATAGTACTATGGGGAATCTTAATGGATGGGGATGGACATATACTTCCTTACATCACTATCCTTACACACCGAAAACCATAATACACGAGAATGGTTGTTCAAGTGCTGAGCCATGTTTCAGCCAATTAGCATCTCACCACCACACGACACTACTGTATTGCGTCACATAAAAAATTAAGAGGGAATTTTAAATGTCTTCAGTCACGAAATGAAAAAAACTATTTGTTAGCTATTTTTTGTTACATTGGTTGTATTTGGTGCTTGCGTGTTGTCGTTACTTTCTTTCATTAAACTTAAGGTATGTAGTATAGAGAAATTTATGTAATGCTCCAGTGGAAAATGTTTTTTCGGCAGAAATAGTAGTTTATACCAAGTTTACAACGTTAAGCTTTATTGTACATGTTTTGAAAACGAGCGTCGTTAGAAGCGAGTTCCCAGATTTGTACGAATGTAATAATGCAGCATTATAAAAGAGTTGCATACGCTACTTTTTCGTACAACAGCATTAAAAATGTATAAGAGAATCAAACTTAATTTTGGGGAACAACTTTATGGCATCTCAGATATTTGGCATCTGTGCAAGGAAACGGTAGTTGATTAATTGATTGTCTAGTTATTCCGGGCGCGTAAACTACTAGGGCCATTAAGTGTAACGCATGGGTTTGCTCGGGAGGTGGCGATGATCCTTCCCCGTTGTATGGCGAGATCCGGCACCAACCTTCCGTCGGCTAACGGCGGTTTCCCCAACCAGGGATCTCCCACCATCGGGGCACCGCCGCAGTCAGGACAAGCTTTTAGCTTCTAACGAATCTCCCGGCATGTATAGTAGTGTAGTGAGTGTTTGTGTAAGTGTGTGTGTGTGTGTGTGTGTGTGTGTGTGTGTGTGTGTGTGTGTGTAAGGCGTGAGGAGATGACAAGGAAGAGAAAGGTGAGAAAGCTTGCAGTCCGTGGCCCGTTTGTTAAGGTCCTGCTTTGGCATTTGCCTGGTGCTGATTGGAGAAACCACGGAAAACTACCGATCATAGCAGCTAGAATTATCCTCCAGACAGCGACTGAATTCGACCTAGCTAACAAGCTGTCGAAAATCCTGTCACCGTCGGGACTCGAACCTAGAACCTCCATGTAAAAGGACTACAATGACATCAGTTGATGCCCTGTGCCATCTCTCCAGAAAAACAGTGCCCGGCTGTTTTGTTTACCGCTACCTTCCCGCACCCCACAATTCTTAGATTTTTCATGGTTAATAATAGTTATTTCAAATCTAAGTTATAAATATTGTATAAAATTGCAACGATATAGTTTGTAACTATATAGTTCCAGATACTGAAGAGGGTCTCGCAAAAGAGATCGAAACGGCTTTCGTTAAAATGGAATTTTTGACTTATGACTGGAATTGTCGCCTGCTATTTATTGGCGTACATGTATTGTTCTATTTTTCTCGTGAGCTGTTGATATTAACACTTGATGAGCGTGATTTCTACATGTGTTGTAGAAATATCAATATTGGATGTCAATATGCTCACATCGTTAAGTAATTCAGATTTGACAACAATTACAGATTCGCAAATAAATAGGTCAATCCAAATCATGTAATGGTAAGATTCCAAACACAATGAAACGAGGCTTGCAAGGATCATGTGGATGGCTTTTTATTATTCGAATATTTTTTTTTTATTTTGCGACCTAAAGGTCTACCGGACTACAGGACCGGAAGCGTTTCGCAACGGCGACGACAGAGCCCCACCTATCGGGAAGACAAAGCCTCACTTGCAATGGCGGCCCATTACCGAAGATGCTCTCTATCGCCACCACTTGAATCGTATGATGTCACAAGTGATCGCCCATGGTTTAAGCCCGTTTAAAATATCGTCACGGCGAGATACATCCCCGCCTTTACAGTGGCAGCATCCCCTCATCTTGATCACGGCGCGCTCACGGTGGCGTACCCTGCGACAGAATGTTGGCTCGAAGGTTCGAAAGGGAAGCCCGCAAGACTTCTGTGTCGTAGACGAACGAGCGTACAGAGCCATTTTGGAGCCCAACGTCTTTCGGCTCCGCTTTAAGGGTAAGAGACTTCGAGCTATCGAAATTCCATGAAATATACCGACTTCATCCGCCCACTGTTCCGTTCACGGGCGCGCCCCGGGCTGGGCTTCCGTTTTATTTATTTACGTCAAAACAGTTAAAAACTGTGTGCGGCTTGCTATGGGGAGAAGTTAAGTTGAAGTTACATTTATGTCTAAAAGCAAAACAAGGGTCCATCTCAACATTTGCTCAAGGATCAGGGAAACTTGACGAAAACCTGATCGAGATGGCGGTCATTGACCCAGAAGCTGAAGTTCAATACTTCTAACAGTTTCTTTAGAATTATGCAATCCAAATGGTAAATAACACACTAAATGTTGTTAAAATTAATATTACTTTCCTTTCTATGCTCGGTATAGTCTCTCATTGTGTAGAAACAGATGTGCAGCAGAAAAGATTTTACTTCGGACTTAGACTTTTGTATCGAAATAATAGTTTAATTTCATTTGGCAAGGTGTTGTAAAATAATGTACATGAATTGTTTGTAGTAAGCTGTTAATACTGTCACGTGATGAATATGATTACTACGTGGAGTGTTTTAGTTGTAGACAACGGCGTTTGCTGAACATATACTCCCACCCTTAAGTAAGTCATTTTTAACTAAAACCACTGATTCATATATGAAGAGACAAGCTAATGGTAAAATACCTAGATTAATAAATAGAGGCTTACAAGGATCATTTGGGTGCGGTTCTTTTTATTATTCGTTCAATTCTTTTTTGTAGCCTAAATGTTTGGGAGCTATAAGACGTATTTCTCCAGAATATTATTCCATATCTCAGGCGGGAATGAACATTCACGAAATATACACAACGAGCAATTTCGGGACGAGTTCCGAAAGCGTCCGCCTCCGGGCATTCCACGTGTCTCGCGCTGCCAGTGGGAAGCCTCGTTACAATTCACCTGAAATAAAGAGTTTGTCGCGAACAGGACACATGCCTTTGAAATCTGAAATACCTTCGAAATATTTACCTAAATCCTTATGGTAATACAAAAAACGTTAGTGCTATCACACTGGTCCATCACAAATACAAAAGACAGGCCAACACATCCATGTTACCACGTAACCTTAGTAGGAAGTACTCTTATCATAGAAGACTAATGTCAAAATCAACCAATACATTTTAATCGTTTTTGGAATTATTATAATTCTTAGGTCCAAGAGTACACTGATAGTACGTAGGCCTTATTCAGTGGAAAGGAGAACCAAAATATTTGATTTTTGGTATATTCATCTGTTTACATTGAAACCAAACGCTTCAATCTGCAGAATAAATACAAAAATTCTAAAAAGGATGTTTCAGAATAAACTTAAATAGGGGTAAACTAATATTAAAAATATTTACAATCATTATGACGACTGTGCCGAGTTGAATACCCATATACAATGGATTGCAAGGCTTTAAATAGATTTTCTTCCTCATAGCCAGAAATATTTCCATCGGATAGCAAATTGTCTTTTAGCCTCCTCTGCATAACTTTAAGAGAATTATCCATATTTCTATTGAAGATGAAATCGCAAATCGCATTTTTACCATGAGCATTGAACAAATCCTTAAATACTACCAGAAAGAATAATAAATAAAGCACTTGTTAGCAACAATGACTCATATTTATTTAAATCATTGTAAAGTACATAACTCATCCTTCAAGAATAATGCAATGCAGCAGAATTCCGAATCTTACACGGCGCGGGAAACAAATCAAGAGAGCGCGAAAAAACATGTTATACGAGACGTAAATTACGACGCACCTGCGGCCGTGCAACACTCACAAAGCGCATATAGTGCAATTTATTTAGTCGTGTACATGACACATATCAACTGTTGCGGTTTCGTCCAATTGGGAGCTTAAATGTCGCTACAGTAACGTCACTATAGAGACGTTTAAGCTGTCAATTGGACGAAACAGCGAAGGATTTAAGAGTTGATCCGTTTCGGTATTTCAGTGAAGTGGTCCGACCCCGCATCATTTTGTGACGGTTCTATTCTCGGAAAATAACTTCGTAAACCGTTTCATCCGCGTCAACATCGTTCGAACGTTGCGGGAGAACTGATTTATGCCGATGTAAACGGTCCGATGTCGGTCGATTCGATCAACGGTTTTCTATTTTATATGGCTTTCAAGGATGATTTTTCTCAGTATATTCGCATAATCTTCATTAAAAAACCGGAAGTGTTTGAGCATTTAGAAACCTTCTTAAATGAGACGATGCCAAGGGACACAAAGTTAAAGTTCTTGGGTCGGACTGTGGTACTGAATTTGACTGTCAAACTGCATTGACGTCGCTACAAAAACGCGGTATTGAGTTGCACCCGTCGCGTTCGTACATGCCTCAGCAAAATGGCGTCGCGGAACAAGCTAATAGACATGTTGTATTGACTCGCTCTATGCTTTCGGTAAGTTAGCTGTTGAAAGCCTGTTGGGCTCATGAATGTGACGGATGTATTTATATTCATCGCACACGCAAGTCGAGTACTCTTGGCATAGCTCCGTTTCAATTATGGACTGGCAAAGCATTCAACCGCTTCAATCACTTGCGAATTTTTGGTACAGAGTGTTATGTAAACATTCCGAAACAGTTTCGATCAAAATTCGACATCAAAGCACTTCTCGACCACTTCATGGACTATGTCAACAACTAAGAAGGTTTTAAGGTATGGGTACCTGGAAAGCGTCGTATAATTAAATCACGTGATGTTGATTTTCGTCCAGAAAAACTTTGCACGACGAATTAGGACAATTTACCTCGAAATTCGAAAGCAGTTGGGAAGACGTTTGTCAAGAAGGAGAAGATAACCTCAATCATGAAAGTTCTGAAGACAACCATCAGAGGACCAGTTACCTCCACGCGTCTGATAACTGCCAAGAGTGTCACTTCAAAAGAAGGAGCACCCAGGATATATACTCTTTGGGAGCACCTTCAGTACTAGATACGCGTTCTGTTCGTACAATCCAACCACGTAAGTTTCAACGACTATGAAGTGAGTTATCAAGAAGGAGGAATTGGAGCCAATCAATTTTGTTAACTCTATGAAAAGTCGTTATTTGGTAATCGGATTAGGGCAATTAAAATCGAGATGGGTGCATTCGAAGAAAATAACACGTGGGACTTGTTTTCTTTGCCGTCGGATAAGCACGTTATCGATAATCGTTGGATTCTTCCGGTAAACGCTTCATTCCCGACTGACCAGGCCAACAGATATCCCTCTCGTCTGACTGTTCGAGGTTTTTTCAACGTGCGGGACTTGATTACGACGAAGCGTTTAGCCCGGTTGTTCTATGATTCTATTCGAGCCTTCATTGGAACTGCAGCTGAAGAACAACTTGTACTTGGTCAATTTAACGTTCGAACAGCATTTTTGTGCGGTAAAATAATGCTGAATCATACATGACTTAGCCTCAAGGTTTCGACAATGGAACTGGTCGTGTTCGCTTATCAAATAGGTCGTGTATGGAGTCAAAGAGTCTCATCGATGCTGGAATAACAAAAGTCATTTATTCATGGAAAATAATGGATTCTTACATTCAACGGCTGATCCATGCACATTCGGTTACATAAAGGATAAAAATGTTTGGTTGTAATTTACGTCGATAGTTGGAATGTACTCATCGCGAGATCAACGCAGGCAGCAGTGGACTCATTTTTAAAATTGCTGACTTCTGAGTTAAAGATAAATGTTGGTTCCCTTGATTCGTTTTGAGGGATGCACGTCGAACAACGTGAATCTAGTTTCTTTGTGTCCGAGCGCACCTACATTGAGGAAATTCTGCCTCGTTTCCGAATGGCAAACTGCAATTCAACGAAAACCCCTGATACTCAACAACCGGACCAATCGACTAATGACGCTCTTGAGGATTCCGTTCCTTATCGTTCAGCGGTTGGTTCCTTGTATTTGGCTTGTGTTACTCCGCCAGACATAGCTAATGTTTTTTTTCTAAAGTTGCTCGATCCATGGATAAATCCACGGAATTTGATTGGATCACTCTTAAACGTAGTTTTCGGTACTTGCGGGTAATGCTGATTTTAGTGTTTTTCGCCTCTACTGGTGATGGACTACGTACTTATTCTGATGCTGATTTTGTAGGAGAGGTTCTCCTTGACGTTCGACAAATGGTTTCGTGGTACAGCTGTTTCATGGACCTCGAAACTACAGAAGTCATTTGCTGTTTCTACAACTGAAGCGGAATTTGTTGCTGCCAGTGAAGGTGCTAATTATACTATCAATCAATTTGTAACTCTATTAAACTTTTATATTAAAATGTTCATCTCATGCACAATTTGCGGATCCTTTCTGGCCGTTCTAGCGCATATTTCGAATTTGTTTATAAAATTGTAAATTGTTGGAAAATGGTTAGTTTTTAGATTTCGGGACATCGGGAGACACTTCCCTTTTTAGATCTGCAAAAGTTAGAAATTGTTCAAAAATTTGCAAAGGTTGCATTTTTATTCTCTCTTCTAAATCCCTTTAAACGCAATACAAAATTCCGCAACCCGATCGGTGCTATCAACTTCCGTTCTCGATTCTACACTACAATTTCTACGAAAAAAATAAATAAAAAAAGGGGGGATAGCTGTAACGTTTATTGGTAGTTTTTTTGGGATCATTGCAGTCACAATTTCTGTCTTACGGCAACTATGGCCGTTTCTTAAAGATTCAAACATATTTTTTCATTCTAAACAGCCATTAAAACTCCCATTTCAATATTTTAATTCGCTTAAGTGTTATGATAAAAAATATCCTGTTAAAATTTCACCCGCTATTCAAGTCGAGGGAACTTTACAGGTACCTTGAATTGCCTCATAAACTTTTCCGAAAACCCAAAAGTTTTCTGTGAAAATGAGCTGAAAATTCCGGTCTCAGAAACGCCCAAATTTTATTTTCTCCAAAAATGGCTGTTTTTTTTCTTTAAACTTTTTGTAGATAGTGCTAAATGCACTGTATATATGACATAAAAGCAATTTCGCTTTATTTTAGTTTTCTTTTCAAAAATTACGCAAATATTTAAAAAAAATATCTTATGCATTCACATTTTCAACGATTTGCGTACATTATAGCCTTTATGAGTGGAAGTGCTGTAAATGGCCTCCAAAAAAAAGTTTGTCGAAAACCCGGAAGTTTCCAGTGCAAAGAAGCTTCAAATTTTGCATGTAGGCTACAAGTACGCCCAAAAAATCGGCGGAGTTAATGAGAACTGTCAAGAGGTTGGAGGACTGAAAAGCTATCCCAGACCACGAATTTTCTTTAAATTTCTCGTAATCGAGTGACTAATAAAGATGGCATAAGTCTGATTATCACTGCATAAATTCATTTTATACACACAAAACAAGAAAAATCGGTATCAGGGACCCATAAAACTAGTTTTTGTTTAAAAATTGATATATTTTTCCTGTAGAATTTCAGTATTTGCCTATCCATACTAGTGGGCAATTGTTGGAGCACTGACTGGCAGAGCCAATATTATTTCATTGCGGTTTTACCACACACTAAAAGAGGTGGTAATGGAGTGCAAATCTCAATTTGTCATGCTTATAGTAGCGATATCTTCAATTATCATTTTATGGTTGTTTCTTAACTAGTTTCATTAAAGAAGAAAAGATAGTTTGACTAATTACATTCTCTAGAATACCTTGATTTTGCATGTAGGTATCACCTTGCCTCTGGTATTACTGATCATATTCTGGAATACAGAAGTTACAATTGCATTTAACGATCCATGGTTTTATCCCATCCATATAAGTAATTTGGACATTCTGATGAGGGGAAATTAATGACTTTAGCGGATAGTAATTTACAGCATTATGAAAGGTTTGTCTTTTTACACATGGCAGATGAAAAATTAGGTAAGTCTGGTTCAAAAATTCATAAACCATTATTGTAAAATTGGGAATACCAGTTCAGTTACAAGTAGAATTTCCTACTTGGATATTTTTGGAAGACTTTAAAAGTCAAACATTTGGGAAAGGAAGCAACAACAAAAACAACTAAAAGATTAAAACAAAATAGGTGGGAGAGGATTCAAAACTTTGTCAAATAGCATCAAAGAATTAAGGAGAAAAATTCAGAATGTTTGCATGAATGTGTTCTAACATTTGCTCCAACGCACACAAAATAATAAAGTTTATTTTTCCATACATAAAAATATATTTCCTTTGTTTCACAGTCATGAGCAATTTTATGAATCTTTTAATACAGCATAAAGTGCAGATTCCTATTCTATATTTACAATACCTACATAAGATTCATTGTACATACATCTGGGAGGAAACACACATGTTAATAGATCAGATTGAAGCCATGGATATAGTTTTATGTGTAAAATAACTGACAACAATTCAGAAGTAGACGTATTATTTTTCTTCAAATCACAATATCATGAAGTATAATATAAGAAAAATTGTGCATCTACAACCATACAATTTATTCTTTTACAAAATTTGCTTATAATTTTATTACATTGACAGCTTTTTCAATTTACCACAGGCAAAATGATTATTAAAGCTGTTATATTGTCAAATAAAATTTATAAAGTTAAAGTCCACATATCTTGATAACAGCAATTGGTTTCAAAATAATATTTAATAAATATAATACAGAATCTTTGGGAAATCAACAGATATCTTTCATGCAACACTGCAAAAAAAAGAATTGAAAATTTCCCACATTTGCATTCACAAAAACAAGTTATTTTATCACAATTTTAATGGGCAATATAACATTTCTGCACAAACTATTAACAGCTCCAAATTGCTTAATTCAAATAAGAGCAATAAATATGAATTCAGGTGAGCAATCAGCTTTTGAAGATCTGCACCTCAAGCAGAACTAGCTCTGAGAATTGGGGTGGGTTTTCAACGACATTATCACAGACTTTCTATTAGGATGTGAAGAGCATTTGGTTTGAAGATATTTTTATTCAGTAACTTCACCTGCAATAAAATGTCAAAATCAAATTTTTCTGACATTACCGAGGTTAATTTTCGCGAACCTATATAACTTAATGAACTATTTTTCTAAATACTGAATCATTATATCATTCTTACAAATACTTCATATATTTAGGCCAAGAACAAGGTCTGCATGCCAGCTTTTTTTTAAAGCATAAAAATATAACTATAAAGCAAAAAATTGACCCTCTTCCTTCTACTTTTTTTCTTGCTTGTCAATGTTTTCTGTTTAATGCACACCATTTCGTGATTACAGAATTATTTACCTGGCTGTCATTTAAAAAATACAGAGCTTGGCTTTACATCTAACAAAACACATGTCATCTGTATTGATTGAGATCCTGTTTATTAAATCTCCCCACAATATTTTTAATTTCTTAATGCTTTGGATTTCATATTCCCGAATTCAGTTCTAATTTCAAAGCATTGGTTAAAAACATTCTGATAAATTTCATGATTCCAAATGATCATGTTCTTTAAATAGAAACATAACAAACCTATTTGGAGTAAAAAAAATCTAATATCTCAACTTGGAAGTTTATAAATTAACTTGCAAGATCCAGTCAATGAGACATGCATTTTAGATTGAAATATATAAACTATTTCACAAACGAGTTTCCTTTTTGAGATACAATTAGAAAATACACAGAATTTCTTTTAACTAGATGAAATCACCTTAATTTGAAAAAATAAGCTGACAATTTCTCATTTTTTTAAAAGATCTTTTCTATAAAATCTATAAGACAACTGCTTATTTTTATTTATCAACTTCCTTCTGACACCAGCCACTTTTATTACTGAATATAATTTAACTAATTTCATGTTGTCACTAGTTCTCAAATCATATTCGGTAAAAACCATAGATTCTGAGAAATAAATAAAAGCATATGAATTTTAGTTCAATTATAACATGGAATTAAGAATTCCTTTTTTTCATTCTTCGAAAATTTCCATAACTCAACACAGTTCACAGCAAATAAAACTAATGATACACCACCTAAAGCAGAATTAATGCACCAAATTTTAAAATCGATACATATGAATATTACTTTTCACAGCTATCACAAAATTCTGCAACAAATTGCTGTGTTTAATCACAGGTGCAAAACAGTCCTTTATACGTCAAAACAACAACTTTTAAATTCTTCAATCTCAAAGAAAATTGAAAATTATTTTGACAAGTGCTACATATTCCATATTAAAACAATTTACAGTACTGCAAAGAAAGCAGACAAATAATAAATTCAAAACAGTTTGTGAATTTATTCACAGCGACTTCCAATGAGGGCATAAATCTGAATCTTAGGTGAGCAACCACGAGAATAAAAATACATCTACATGCATTTATGCCACACATACAACACCAATAAAAAAAAACTCGTTTCTGAATTTTTAAAGTTAATTCCACATATTCAATAGTTTTCTTAATGACAATTATGAAAGACAAAAAAACTATTTCATGCAAGCTCCTTGTAAATACAAGAAACAAATAAACACAGTAAGTGGAATTATAATGTAAACATAGTACAAACTATTCATAATATGAGTAATTCAAAGATCTTTTGCCCACAAATTAATATGCTGCACAATGTGGTGAAAAAATCTGGAGGGCAGCTCATAAGATTCAAGCCTAAATCTTTTAGGTGGTATATTGCATTCACCAGAAAATTACAAAGAAAAGCAGTGGTAAAGCATTTTATTTTCATTGAAATTTTATTTGAATAGTTTCCAAAACTGAGCATATTACAGTGCTGGTAAACCTCTTAGATATATCAATGTCATATCAAAACATGGCAAGGGAAGCCGGTTGTGTGTTCCGAAAGACTAAATTATAATGTAATGAAATTAATTTTGCTGAAGTGCAATATAATATTAACATACAAGTGGGGTAAAACCTCTGCAAATTTGAAGTAGGCTGTTTCCAAGAGCATTCAAAATAGCTCTGCAGTTTCAATTTAACACTTAATTGTACCAGCAGGTGGAGGAAGTTTTTTTTTTGTTGCTTTTTTTAATGACACACTTCCCTTCAAAAAACGTACAGCTCAAAACTCATGAAGAATACAGAGGAGAAAAGGAAGAAAAGAGGAAGAACAGTGTTAGCAAATGTAGCTCAGATGCAAGTCAATTCACTATGCAAACATGAACAAATAAAAAAAAAACTGATCCTTCCCCTTTAGTTGTGACTGTGAAAGTGAACTTGAAATTCACCCTTTAGTATACAGTAGGCACACACAAGGCCTGCAGTCATTATCAGTACAAATTCCTCTTTGATGTTTAGCAACAAAGAGCGGAAATAAGTAAAATAAGCAAGTTGTTACCATTTCTTTGTGTAATTGTAAACTTGTTGTAATTGTCTGACCACAACTGCATCTTAGTATAAGAGCAGGTCATAATATACAACGTTTTGGAAAATTTATTAAATTTTGTAACAATAATTCTTGTGAAGATATTTCCATCATTAACAACCTGAATTATTCATTTCAATCACAAACATAGCCTCCTCAGAATTGTAGGTCAATTGGTGCTCAATACTTCATGAAGTGCTTGCTGTTGTTCACTGGAAAGCTGGCTGATACATGCTTGAAATACTTCACCATTACCCTAAAATCCATGAGAAATTTCACTGTATCAATAACATTTCAATCAATACGTCAACATTTTAGAAATAATTGAAAGGCCGTGCTGCTTACCTGAATTTGACGTACAATGTTCACCATACGTTTCGCCACTTCACTCTCTCGAGGAATTGCATCACGAGCAAACGCTTCTGCAATAATTGCAATCAATTTTGGCAGATTGGAATGACTTGGACCTAGCACTACAGGATTATTCGACTCTATTAGATCACATAGATATCCATACACATGTGGAGCTTCATCTTCATCTTCCCACACAGGTAGCCATGACAACCTGTGAGCAATTGGAGAGAGAGAGAGAGAATTAATCCGATGAGCAATGGAACGAAATAATCTTCTACTAGTCCTAGGCTGTACTCGCCCAAGTTTTTCTTTTAAAATAATAATTTGCGCAAACAAAGGTGGTCAGCAGACTAGTTTATTGCTACCACCTCATGATTAGCTAAATGAGATAATACAATTATTCACACAATAAATGGTAATTACAACATTAGTGGCACTACAAACTGCCACTTTGTGAATAATTTCTTGCATTGATAAACAGGAGTTTATAATGTTAGTATAAAAACAAAATGATTGTTACAAAAATGGGATATTGGGACTGCACAGAAAGCTCTTCAAACACTGGTCTTACACACTACAAACAGAATACAAAATTGAAATATAAAATATTGACACGACAAAACATTTTGAATACTTTAACACAAAAACTACAGGTCATTACAAAACTGTTCAGAAAGCTCATTGTTTTCCTCTAATGTTACAGTTATTTTTTGATACAATTGCATTATGAATTGTGGATACTTTCTGAAAGTGGTTATCTAATGAAATTTTACACAGAATAAAACTTTTTGTTTAATTTGCTTAATTTTTATTAGATAATTATGTTGGGCCATGCAAGGGATGTAATAACGAGTACGATGAGTCGTTTTACCACACTGAACTATTTCATTGTCACAAGATAATTTACCAATTTTTCCTTCTAACAACTCATTATGTTTCTTAATTTCATCTAACACATCACAAATGTTCATTTTCTTTTTTAAAGACTGCATTAACATTCTACTGGGATTAATTATCACAACATTCAAAAAAACAGATCTGATCAACATATGTAATACCCAACTCCTAGCAATGCAAGATTCATGAAAGACACAGTGTAACCGTTAGTCAAATTTTGCTTTTGGGTACAACATGCAAATCTAGTAGGCGATTGAGAACCATGTCGCAAGTCCAAGGAAACAGCCTCATCAAGCGGGAGTATAGATCTGATGATGGCTGAACAAATCGACATGTTCTTAAAGATTCTCCTTCACCAAATTTGTCACAAACTTTGAGGTGAGGGATTAGTTGACACCATGAGGGCAGAATCACGTATCAATATTATTGGCATAAAGTAAAGTAAGCAATGCATTTCCAACACAAAATACTAGACTGATCTTTGATTGTTCCACTAGCCAACAAGATTTCAGAAATTTTCTCTATGTAAGTGGAAAAGTGAAAACTGTTCACTGATCAATGTTAGTTTTATTGCATGGCACAGATTGATCTGAAAGTTCCATGGTCAACAAGAGTGATTCAGTACAATAGTGAAGAGGTCGTCCATAAATTACGAAACGCTGAAGAGGGGGGAGGACGTGAGGCAGTGTTACGCTGCACCACATAGGGGTACGAGTGTTGTAGTTTAGTGTTATGTGATGCTGACTTATTTTTAAAATCATTCAACTTTTGCTGAAATAATTTATTTTATCCAGTCTTATACTATTCATACTAACAAATGAAATTTAAAATATAATAAATGAAAGAACTTTTATTCTATAATCGAAACAATAAAATAAAATATTTTTATCAATGATACATTGATTGAATCTTTTTGAGTATGAAGAAAAAATTCAAAACTGATCTATAGAATATTGTAGAATCGATTAGTTGGCACACTTGGAACCTACGCATCATCCATGATATCATGTGCACAGATTGTCAAATTTTCTGGCATATACGTCCTTTCATTAAAAATTTGTCCCCAAATTTTCTGATGCGCAGTCTGCGCAACCAACAAATTCTCATGTTAATTCTAATAAATTTCACTAATTGGAATTGGGGGAGGGGGGGGGGAAGGGGCACTTGTCACTAGCGTTATGAAATTTTTAGAGGGCAGTTCATGCCCGCATTACAGGGGGGAGACGGGGGTATACAAAGTGCTCCAAATGAGTGTTATGTAATTCATGGACAGCTCCTGGAATTTATTATATAGATAATCAAAAGATACTTTATCTAAATCAGGAAGAATGACTAAAGACCATGAAGTGTGTGTAAGTAAGGGGGGTGAGAAGATAAGGCAGAGGAAGGAAAGATCGCATGTGGTTCATGGTCCATTTATTAAGGCACTGCTCAGACATTTGCCTTGTGTTGGTTGGAGAAACCCGGGAAAACTTCCTATCTGCGATGTGCATCTACTTGTAAAGAACCATAGTCTCTGTCTACTCGTACAAAAACACAGATAATGTACAGTGTTAAGTCAAATGTAATCTATGTAGACCTATCTTTATTAGGGGGACGGGCTAAGAGGGTCAGGCTCTGCCCACAAAGGCAACGTTTATTTATAATAATTAAATATTAATAAATTGGGTATAATTATTATATTCAATTTGTCGTAAGCAATACAACATATTGATTGGATCACTCCAAAGGAGTTCTACCGTTAAGAAAAAACATTTTTAAATTTCAAGTTAACATTGTTTTATTTCAAAAATATTTATAGGGTGGGTGTCAGTCATGACTGGAATTGCCTTCCACTCCTGCGAAATACTTATCGGGTCTGTCTCTCGTGGGGGGCAAGAGGTTGGCAACATAATTATGGATCTGCACAATATTTCTGTGCATGAAGTTGGTGACACTGCACGTGTCAAAGTTGAATGAAGAGTGGTCTGATGTGCAAGTTGAAACAAGTTTTAACTGGTTTCATGACATAGTTACAGAGGTATACATTTCTTATCAGGGGAGATATATTTTGACTTAATTGAAAATGAAATGTTGAATATTACATTTCAATGTACTCCCACTAGGTAGCTGGTGTCGAAAACCGCCAGAACTCAAACCCTAGGACCTCCCAGTCATGGCAATGGATACAAGGAATGCCCATAATAATGATTAAAATTTTTGTTGCGTCCGGGACAATTAAAGAGGTACTTTAACAACTTATTTACAAATTAAAATTTTAAAATTCTCTCTTTTTCTTACTTTCATGCTCCACATATTTTGAACTAACTGCAAATTCAAGTTTCTTGAAGAATAGAACTTGTAATTTATTTTAAGGATCTCAATGTCAATCAGCATGACAAAAATTAAAGTGTATATTGTAATGTAACTTACCAATGTGGAAGAATTTCTCCTACATTTAAGGCGCTACTATTGTATTTCAAAATCTTGGTCACAGCAGATATTGCGTTCTCCGTAGGATTGATATTTTCCATGGAACGTGATTCTGGAGCATTTATAACTTCCACAAGGCGAGGAACTGCTTCTGCACAGGCAGCTGTAAAGAACAAACTCAAATAAAGGAAGTGTCACAATTTAGAGAACCTGGTGTACAATGATTTTTAATAAATGTAAAATGAAAAGAATGTAAGATACATACTAGATACAAATTTTAATTAAAATTTCTTAATTCAACACAAATCAAATAATTACAGGTGTAAAATATAAGAAATAACTTATTTTAATAAATAACGTACACTTCTTAATAATATTTTTTAACAAATAGTTCTTTGGGGTAATGCACTGGCACTGGACTTATAACAGTACAAAAATAACCTCCATACATATATTTCATATACATCTTCCACAATTAAATCAGATTCATGATGACTTCTATGGTCATTCATTGCAAGGGCAATGTGCACTTTAATTTTTTTTTTTGAGTCATGCACCTACTTAAATTTGGCACATCAGTAGGGACATGGATTGGTAAAATCCACAAACTTAGAAATCATATTTCACAACTCCGGCAACGGGAAGCTTCGCATCTTGTTCAAGCATTAGAATGTTCCGTTGCACCATCTATATCTTTGGCTTTCTGATGTTCCTTTTTCCTCTTGGCTTATATTTTAGTATGTTTCGGTATTCGTGTATCCTCAGTCTATCAATGTGGTCTATCCATACCTTCCTCTATTCATCAATTTTTCCATTTAGATTATAAATTCCTAGGTAGATATGTATCTCTTCATTATGAATCCTGTATTTCCTTTTGACACCAATATAACCACTTTAATTTTTCATTTTGGCAGTCTGACGCCTACTTATAATTTTTTTATTCATGGTATTGATATCACATCCGTATAGCCCACAAAGAACTGTTCAGGTTTTACAAAATTTCATGATTGTATCTTTCCTGACTATTTTTTAGCATCCCAATAGTTGCACACATTTGGTACAATTTTTCGATTTTCTTATCTGCATAAATTTCTCCTTTATAAGAGATCACATTCCAGAAACTTAAATGAACTTGTTCAATATTTAGGTTGTTACCTACTAATATAAAAAGTATTTTCCTTGGAATGCCGTTGACAAGTTTTTTGGACAGAAAAACCTGTTAAAGTGGAGTTTGAGTGGAGCATGCACACGTTCAAGGAGCAACAAACTTTCAAAATGCACTGTTCAACCAGGTGCTGGCCAGCTGCAAGGATTTTCCTCAAGAATTTATGAAATGGGAGGAACCATACATTTTCAAGAGGAGCTCAAATATTCCCCTCACAATTTCAACAATATACAATACTTCTAAAATGGGAAGTACATCTTACAATGGAATCCAGATTCATTAACAATGCTGACCTGACTGATAATTATCAGGTTCGGTCTTCAAGGTGGACTAGCCAGAGCGAGTTGCTCATAGAAAAGGCAACAAGCACAAGAGTGGGCCAATTGTGAGAGCAAAACAGTCTAAATGCTATCTCAGATTCATTGCAATGAGGTCACTCTGGCGCTCATTGCCTCCTATGTGATTCACACACACGTTTTTCTAAATGCAGTATTTACGACATATCTGAAGTACTCTGCACTTCCTGGGTATTTATTACCTCCAATCATCTATCAGATACAAAAAGGAATTTATTATTTCTGAATCCCTGCCATAGTCTGCCCTCTGCCTGTCCCCCTTTATAATGCCCCCCCCCCTCCACCCATACAATTTCTTCTATGATCGTAGTTTCTATGGAAGGCTGTAAATGTATGAAAGTTGTACAGGCAGATTAATTGTTTACATACACCTGGTAATTATCCAGTAATGATTCTGACCATGAATTACTCCTAGCCTAATTATGGTTCCAGAATAAAATAGCAAATGCATTTCAAACATCACCAGTTGTTAAAAACAATTCTAGTAAGAGTAGATAAAAAAAAATGATGATAGCATAGGTCCAATTTTCACTAATAATTCTGAATTTTCAAAAATTGCAAGAGTTTTCAATTATTTGTGCCATTGTAGTACAACTACAATATTTTTTCCTCCTAAAATGAAATTTCTTCTTCCAATTAGGCCTCTACTTAATCTCACACACCACACGCACACAAAATTAGTAGTTTCCATATAATTGTAGATCATACATATTCAGCAAATTCGTGACTATGTACTCTGTCTCATTGTGTACATCCATTTCAAGTCCTGCTTTAAGACTTCATATGTTATCTGCCTCATTGCAAGCAACATCATTAGAACTCACAATAACTACTTTCATGGATGCGGAAGCTGCATTTATCCCTGAAATTGTCACAGCTATTTTGAATCTGGCTTCATATTACCTGTAACTTACATTACTCAACTTGACAGCAATTCCCCTTGCTGTCTCCGTAAAGGGTCACATCCATTGATTTGCAAAACTTTCTCTCTTTCTTGCATTTGGAGTCCCTAGGGAACTGTCTAATAATGTTGCTACCATTTTCACGAGGCGCTCGTAAAATTTCATAACTGGTTTTCATAGGCAACACTAAATCACCCTAAGATGTTTGATGCATATAACATTGATTGCAGCATCTTTGTTCCCTGATGTTAGAGACCCCACGTGGGTTACAGTTAACAAGCACTTCAGAATGAAGTCCTCTATTTCCACATTTTCAGGCTGCTCGATCACTTCTTAAAGTTGCAATGATTTGTTTTCAGTTAGAGATGGTCTCTCAATTCCTCTATCATTGCATTACTGGCTACACATTTCCTGCACAGAAGTTGCTTTTACTAGACACACACAGCATGCTTCTGCAGTTGCGACCATTTTGTCAACTTTACTTTACAGCAATGCCCTTCATATAGCTCTCCCTGTACATGGCCACATCTGTTGATTTGGACTGGCAAAACAGTTTGCTGCTTTTCTTTGATTTAAGAGTCCCCTATCATTGAAAAATACTAAAAGGAGTTCAATGAGGTGAGTCATTCTTTTAAAGAGAGTTGATGGAAGAAAAAGGTTGAGAATCCCTACATAACACTTTTCCATTTATGAATTCCAGTCAATATCCTGCAAGAATTCAGACCATACAAACCAGTCCAAAACAAAATTATACAAAATAATGATTATCTCTACCACCTCCTCGGAAGTGGTAATTATAGCTGCTCTTCTGCTTACACAGGCTCATAATTACTCAGCATTTTAAAGGACACTCACTGATCTTGCTTCTATTGGCTGTGTCACAAATACTCCAATCTTTCATTTTGCAGGGTTCAGGCTGAAATTGAATCCGCATTTTTTGACATGACAAGCCATTTCCCCTGCATAATTTCTGCATATTGATCTCTCACTGTTTTCCAGGTTTTCCCAGAAATCAGCCATCTTCACCATATGTACACAAAAATGTCAGTTTCACAAAATTATGTTATTGGCTTTATGAAATCGTTACAAAGCTGTTATATGTTTGTACTTAGTATGGCCAAGTGATTCAGCCTCATGTGGACACTGAGCCTCTGGGTTTAAAACCTGAGCAAGACTTGAATATTTTCTGCTTATTTAAGGCATGGAGGGCATTCCACTTTCCTCATCCCCTACCATAATCTCTTGGCTGCTAGGCAAGTGTGAGCAATCAGTGTGTTTAACAAAGGAATTGGATACCACACCCAGCCCAACAGTACATGGCCTGAGGCGGGGCAAAAAACAACAACAACAACAACACATGGGCAAATAAGGCACAGGACCGAGATAGCAAACAGTATGACCAGTTCGTGGTGCACAATGGTGCTCTTGACTACAACCCCAGAGGACCAAGAAGTACAGCAAAAGACCCTGGCAGTTTTTTTCCAAAGAGAATAGGAAAATAAATAGTACAAGAAAGTGCACCGATCTGCAGCAATAATAGTTTATTTTGGGAGATCAAAATTCTAATCACTTTCCTGTATCCTCTTGCAATCTGCAGAGAGGCACGAAAACATACTAAAAGGCAAGAAATTCTAGGAGTAAAAAACGTTTAGTCACCATCAACTTTCATGTACTCACCAGCAAATCCATCTCCTCCACACTGTCCTAGGACTCCCCACCCATAGACAGCAGCCTGCCTCACTTCGGAAGACTTATCAGTAATGTAAGTGAGCATTGGCTGCAGGAAATATTCTTGGTACTTAGCACTAGCAGGACCACCACACTCAATAGCATCATCAAATATGCATAAAGCCCACTGATGATCTGACCACGGCATTTCAGGTGCCTGAACAGTAAAGATATTGGGTAAAACAATGTTTTAGAAAAAACAGAGACTCACACACACTCTCACTCTCTCTCACACACACAGACAATCTAACACAAATTCCCACAAAGAATAACACTCATTTTAAACTAACAGTAAAGCAGACAATACTCACCAAACACTTTACAAAATGGCCAACAATTTGGTCAAAATATACGTAAAAATTTGATTTATAAGCAACGAACAATGCGTGAATTATGTCGGCAACTTTGCTAAATAAATATACATCTTCGTTGTCCTCATCAACAAGCTGTTCTTCCACCACCTGAAATAAGAATTAACAAAAATTACTAACTCCAAATGAAAATGTAACAATTTGTAACTTTAAATTGGAATAAGGTGTCAATTTTGTTTAAATAATATTGTAAATATCATTGTAGAAACATTCACAACTATCTTAGAATCACAGTACAGGATCGGGGGGTTAGTTATTTAAAGATAAAAAGTATTCCGGTGAGTTGAATAAAACTCCTATACATGTTATGCCAGACCCGAACAGAGGATATAGAATATAGGATAAGGAGATTGAAAATTCTAAAGAAATAATAAGAAAAATTGGTACACCTATACCTCATCATAATCTTCATCCTTTCTCTTCTCATGACGAGCTGCGGCACGACTGAAATGATTCTTCATTGTTTTGTCAAGAATACGTATCAGTTCTTGCATCCATTCTTCATTTAGACATCCATTCCCTAGGGTCTCAATGCACTGTACACAATCTTTCAGTTAACATTTTCATAATTTACTGGGTAAGTTTTGATTAACATAATATGCTCAAATACACATACCTTTGCCATTGAGTGCATATGTTCAGCTAAAACCTCATTTTCAGGTTCGGTGTCAATAGCTTTAAGAAGCTCAGGACAAATAAAATTCCACATGCCTTCCAAGTAAGTAGGTCCTTTGATTCGAGCACAATCCAACAAATATGGTAAACTTTCTGCTGCAGCAGAGCGTACACCATCGTGAAAATAAAATTTCAACATGGGAACCATGAGTCTTACAACTTCCTCAGCATAATCAGCAAAACCTTCCTTTAATTCTCGAGCATAGCAAACCAACATCTCACAAGCAGAAGCCTTGTCTTCGAGACCTAGGAACAGAGAAGGAACAACACACATTAAATAAGAAGGTAAACAAGTTTCCACCAACATTTACAAAACACAGAGTGGAAAAAACATTTATTTATACATTTTCAATACATTTTATTTTTGAACAGTCTAAGATGAAAAATGAAGCTTAAGAAAACTATTAAGGAGAACCAGCATTTGACAAAAATCTACAACGATAAGAACCATGTAGATATCTTTATACTAGGAAAGCAGGTTATTTATTGTTCCGAAACAGGATGATTCAAAAAACAAATTTCTGATTACAGTAATTATAAATTAATAATGGACACCTTATTAAGGTACACTGACTTGAATTTAATGAATACTTTACAAAAACCGTACATGAAATCATTTAAAGAGGTAATATGAATTAATAGATTGTATTAAAGAATTGATTTTGATGTTTTATTGAATTTTCGATAATGTATATGCTCGGAAAGAATTAATTTTGTACAAATGTTTTTTCGGGTTCCTGATTCTATATTTAAATGATAGAAGGCAATAGATTCATAACATTTTTTTACGCATTCACAAGAGGATGTGGCCTTCAGCTCTGAATGTTTTATTTATTCATTTCATTTACTTTAAAAAGATTTGATCACTGATTATGGTATATTTATGGAATAAGTATTCAAAATTGAACGCTCACTGCAATGTAATCACGGCAAGCTTATGTTAAATTATCCTTGCCTCTCTGCATAATGCAATAAATGTAACAGTTGATATTTATTCAAGGTTGTTCCTTTTTTTTTGAAGAAAAAATTTACTCCAATTCGTGGCTACCGAAATAATGGCAGATATGCATCGTAAGCACTTCATTTGAATTTGTTTGGATTTTTTCAATTGATAGCTGAAGTGCTAGTGGGGCAGAAATTGCAATATTATAATATTACGTAACTGTTCCCAATAATGTGAGAAACGATGTGTTGTTAAAGCACCATTAGTTTACTTAACCTAGGTTATAATTTTCAAATTTATCTAGTGATCTCATTGGATGAATAATGCTGAGCTTTCCAAGCCTATCTATTACATTTCAACAGAACACAAAGATGTTGAAATATATCAATAGTCAGAATGTTTAATGAATGAATGAATTATTTCTGGCAACAAAATTGTACAGTTTCTTATATAATGTTTTATAAGTAGGTAGTATTGTTGCAATAATGAATGTAGATTTATTAGAATACTTTTAAGTTAAAAAGAACATTTTTAGAACTAAAATTTGACAATTTTTTTGAAATTTGAGAAATTTCAAAAATACTAAATTACCTTCTCACTTAATTGTCTAAAGCAACACTTACCTGAGGTTTTAATACCAAAATTTTGTTGTTCCCCTAAGGAAACAAACTGCCAGTCTATATCACCTTCAATACCCTGCATATCATCATTGTCTAGTAATGCAACTTCAGGTTTCATTGATGCTGCTTTCATTACTGGCCCCATAACCAATGGAAGATATTGCTCAAACTGTTTTCCTGAGCAAATGAGGAATAAATGGCATTTTAATGCAGGTACGTATCACATTTACAAAATTTTGCGTTAAGATTTGCATATATCTACCTAAAATTTTGCATATTCTGGCCCATGCAGAAATAAGGTATGAAGTTTGTGGATCATCGTCTGGCAAATCTCCACCATCAGTCTGTGTTTTGAGCAACATGTCCATCACTTCACTAGCATCTCTCATAAACTGAAAATTCAAAAGACAAATATGAGACTAACTTCTGAAACGCTTGCATGAATGCCAAGAATAAACGCATCGAATTATGTGTAAGCAGGATCTTTATTTTATCTTGCAACCCAAGTCTGGGAACACCTGCCATGTGAAATACTTTTGGCATCCCTTTTTACTTTTAGAACCCTCCCGTAGTCACATTCTCAGATTTCAGGGTGGCGGAATGGAGCTATTTAAGTTGCATCCTAGTTTGAACCCTCATTTAGGACATATCACCAAAAGTGTCATTTTAAGTAATTATAATATATTTATTAATTATTTTCTATAGTTATTAATACCTCCTTTAGAGATTTAAGGATGATTTATTTTTATGCAAATTTGTAAACGGGTGTAATGATTACACATTATTACTCAAACAATTGAACTTTAGAGCTGTCATACGTTCTAGAAGCAATCACATGTTATCGTTAATGACTAAGTCAGAATTGTTCAACTGGCGGCCTGCAAAACGTTTAGCCAAAGGAAAAGTCCCTTTCATCCATGTCTGGCGAGAACATTGTAGGCCTAGCGCATGCACCCTGCTGGGGTCAACAGCCTTTTTATGTAGAAATAGGTTAAGTTAATACTTCAGGATTTTTTTCTTGAGAATTCAGACATTAAAAAACATCCCAATGTTTTTCATAGCATTATGCATGGTACGGCCTAATATTTACACCCCCCTTCACAGCCACACACTTCAGAGCAGCTGGACAAGGTGCAGAGACCTACAATACAGTGAAGTCTGGTTTGGATCACACAAGTCAAGTGCAGAGTATAGAGGAGCATATCGACACAACCCATTGATTTATTGTATTATTTTACCAAGCTAGACATTGGAATAGTAATCCTCCCTATCTTTGCTTGGCTACATCTTCTGCAAAGTCAGACTTCTTGCTCTGTGGGAATCCATCAGACAAGTGTTTTGCCAGATTCTTGGAAGTGTGGTGAGAAAATTATTCTGCCTTCAAAATCATTCAGAGGTGCTTTTTTCACTCAGATTGGTACCAATTTACTGTTTCTCTTTCAAATTTTCAAGTAAGGTAATGCAATTGAAAATTGTCTCTGTAAATTATACTATTTTCTGCCAGAAATTTGCAGCACAATCTCTCTAGAACACAAGTTCCAGCTGTGTGGTCAGGTTCTCATATTTCTTTAGCAGCTATATAATGTTTGAATCTAATAAGGAAACCTTCTGAGGAGTTCTAGCACCAGAATCTGACACCATTCCTAATTTGCCAACCAGTATCTTGGCTTTAATGAGCATCTTTTGGAGAGAAAAAAAAAGAAAACCACTTAATTGAACTTTACTCTAAATCCCCACATGCTGATGAAGTACGCTGTTCTCCAAGTAACAAGTGTCTCCCAAATCACTGCCTGCGTCATCTTCATCACTCGCAACAGCATCAGCAGCAGGTTGCGAAACAAATGAGCTCATTTGACCAATCTATACTTTTAGCCAGCACTTCACCTTCCAAATCATTTAATATTTTAATTATGGTCTTCAGCATCTGCCGGAATGTTTTCCTTGTGACAAGTTTCCTTTATTGGCCATGGTATGAAATTTCATAACTCGAAAATAAAACACATTCAAAGCTATTGCAGCTAATGAGTTTAAAAAAAATTATAAGTGACTTATAGTATTATTGTAGTAATTATTATTATAGTAAAGTTTCAACAAAAAATGCTTAAAACACAACAATGACTATTTTGCAGAAAAAAAATCTACCAGAACACCATCATGTTCTAAGTAAAAATCACCACGTCCTTGTTTGACCTCCAGAATGTATTCTGTAGTTTGTAAACTACAAAATACAAAGACGTTATACTTAATTCACACATACTACAAACCCACTACTAACGAAAAAAAACTTTACAAAAGCAAGTATATTCAAAAACTGATTTTGCTGCATTTCTCTCGGGGTGCAGTCTGTATGAAATTTCATACCGTGGCCACCTTTGGGTTAATATCATAATCATGGTTTTTGTCACTACCCTCATCTCCACATGTATCAATATTTCTTTTCTTCTGTCCTCGTTCCATGCTGTGACATTTTCAGACTTTTTTAGGGCCCTCTTTAATGTTTTGCTTTGTTCATAGCCTTTCTTTAAACACTATCTAAGAACATTCCCTTTTGTAGTCAGATTTTCTATCTGTCCGGCACTTGTGTGATGGCCTCTGTTTCTGTTCAAAACGCAGATTCGTATTCGCCGGGAATTGAAACCGAGATTCCATGCCGCCTCATCGAACCTGCATCTTGTAACAAACTCTCTGATTCATTTTCACGTTATGTTTCATCTGACACATTGCCATTTGGTTAGAGATTCTGTTTATTGGCCCGTTAAAAAATATTGGTCTGAATTGCCTAAGAAATTCACGGTGAATGCTAAAAATACAAACGTGATTATAATTACACATTTTCTTGCCAAAGAATGTAAAGCCATTTTAGGGTATGTTGGAAGCACAGATGCCAGATATGGCACTGGTTTTGGTAGACTGGCACTAGTTTTTGAGATAATGAAAATTGGTTCAAAAAATATTGTTTTTTTTATTGAGTACAGGCTATTCAAAAATTACAAAACAAACTAAATGTACTATTTATACCAAAATTATACTCTTGAAATATGTAATATTAATATATTCAATATATTTACACTTACACCCCCCAAAAAATTACAATTAATTCTTTGAAAAACATAGTTTGTATGACATCGCTTTATGTGGCAAATCAGGACAAGCACACTGAAGGCTTCAGTAATAGTCTGCCATTATGTATCTATCTATCCCGTGTGACCTGACATTTGTCTTGCATTACTTAATTTCTTGATGGAAGAGGACACTTTGCACCTCATACATATTACCAAAATTTTCAGAGTTTAAAAGCAAACCTTTGAATATGTTTTACATAACTTGCTGCCAGTCTTTTCATAACAAAGTTGTATCAGTAACCAGCAAAGTGTTATTTTTAGTTTCAGTGTCAGACATCTCGTCTTTTAGTCAGCATGCTCAATGTTCAGCTGCTTGGTTTGGCAAACTGAGGTCATGTGGTAAATCACTGACCTTATCTTGGGAGAAGTGCTCTTTTTACAACACTTCCATTGTATTCACTGCCACTTCTTACTACTCAATTAATTACACCAGAGAATCTGTATTGGACATAGGAATTCCAGGGAGTGTGGTGAACATAGGAATGAGAACATCAGATCCATGTGGCACAGGTCGCCTTGCTGATTCTAAGTCAGAGTAATCTGAGTTCCTTTTCTTGTAACAAATAAAGCCTTTTACGTTTACAGAACAAAAATAACATTCATGATGATTTTAGGGCTCTCGCCATACCATTCGTTCATCAAATTTTAAACTCTTCAGTTTTCCACTGATGGAGACACTACACACAAGTTTAGCATTATTATGTCTTATTTTGATCACCCACTTTCATACCAAAATATTTTTCATATATTTTTTCTATCAAGTTTGTAATATTTTTGTTTTAGTAGCGTAAATTCTCAACAAATATAGTAAAATACATTACAGTTATTCCCGCAACGTCTTCCTGAAGAACTCCTCGTTTTGTAACAAAAGAAGATGTATTAATAAAAGGCTCAATTAAATTATTTGATATCCTGAAAATAATGCAATATTCAATAATATTTTTTATTGCTGAACAGTGTTATGAATTCTTACGTGCGATATTTTTACTGTCTTCACAGTTTATTGTTACGTCAACATGTACGAGATTCGTGACATGGAATGGCAATGTAAAAATTTAAAGTCTAACCAACTAGGCTTAATCTGCGAATATAAAATGACCCCACATTTTTCAGCTGAGATATTATCCTCTTATAATCTGGTAAATACAGTAACTATGTATGATATATAAAATAGATTAGTTTAAATAACAGATGATTGGATGAGTAGTCTCTTCCACTCGAGGTCAGCCATGGTTTTTATAAACATGCACACACACACACACACACACCCCCCATCCACGGAAATTACAAGAATAAAATAATTAATTAAAAATCAACAATTCTTACCTTCTCAGCCCCAACGGCAAGACCGATTAGTGAAACACATTCAATTGCTTTCCCTCGAAGCATTTTCAACTCTTCTGTGTTAGCATTTTGGATAATGTATTTAAGACATGGCATCAGTCTATCATAGTATGTAACAAATTGCTCTTCTGAGGTATCTGCTACAGATGCAATTGTTGTAACCACTTGTTCAAGAACCAACTTTGTGCCCTTTTCCACCAACTGAACAAATTGAAAGAATTGACAATCAACACAGTTAAAAGCATTTAAAGGCACATCAACTTTGTTTACAACAAATAGTTACAGGAAAAAAAAAAAAAAAATTATGGACATAAGAGGGGAGAAAATTAAGGATAAAGAACTTGCGAAGATAGCACATCTCACATTATTTGTGAATTTTCAATTTTCGGAAAATTCAGAGAATTAAATGTAAATAATACCTGTGCAGTTTTTCTAAATTAACTCCAAAATTTGAAATCCTACACATAGGAAGAAAACACAGAAGCACAATGTCACATGCAGACAACATCTCTTGAAGCAATATTGGAAAATTCTTCAGGATTCCAGGACAAACGCAACAAGAAAATGGGTAGTTTGGACTCAAAAAAGGAAGGAGACAAAAAACAAACATGTAAATTCTGCAAACTCACCTCTTTGAATTTTGCACTTAAAATCGATTCCAATTTTCCCATAATTGCATCAAGGTATTGAGTCAAAATATTCTTGGGACAATCTTCACTAAAATTAACTAAAGCAGCACCTGAAAAACAAATAATGTCAGTTAACAAATTTCACCCACAAAAAGTAATGATAAGAAAAAAGGCTTCAATACTTATATGGCACCTACTTTATGTCATACACATTTTATTTATAATAATAATAATAATAATAATGTAATAATTAATGCTACAAATTCAGAGTACATTTCCATGAGCAGAATCGGTTGTTAAAAACTGGCATGAATCAAACAACAGCTCCAACAACAATTAAAATCCGACAACAGCTCTTCTGAAAAGTTGAAGTACTGTACACTGAAGAAACAAAACTGAAATGGCAAATTTCCTTTGGGAATCTTGGAGTTTTTCCCAAATAAGCTTAAAGGTGATTGTCAAAGTTCACATGTAAGGCACAATATTGTAAAAAGCACATGTGTTTCATGAGTCCTTTAATCCCTACCTTCATTTCTTTACCAACATTAGTTGATTTGCAGGAAAAAGATAGGAAAGTGCTGTTGACAAAAAAATCTAACTAGAAATTTTGGGTCTGTTGTAACTGAAAAAACTATTTTGCATCAAATAACCACTTATAGATTTCGCGCAGTAGTTCTGCTGCCAAAATAAAACAATCCTGCCCACACTTAAATTTAGCGAAAAGGGGGGCTAAGAATCAGGCATGGATAAAACAAACGAATAAAATAAGAATAAAAACAAATCATTACCTGCATGTGCTTGAACACGGGGATTGGCATTATCGTCTAAAACCATTAACAGTCCTGGTACAACCTTGTCATGGAATTTTTTTTCAAACACTGGAGCAAAGTCAGTAGACATTTGGCCAATTGCATTGCATGCTGCATATCGTACCCTAGGATGCTGTAGACAAAAAGAATTGTTATTTAATAGGAGGACACGTGGAGATTTTTTTGAGAGGAACTTTTATTGTGATTCCCTGATACTGAAAAAGTGGATAATTTATTCTTACGTTGTCAGTTTGAAATGTATTAATATGAATCTTATCTTTAAAAATGAAAAGAAGAGGAGAAAGAAAAAAAAGGAGGAGGAAGAAAAAGAGGAGGAGGAAGAAAAGAAATTGAAAGAAGTATTAACAGATTGATCTGGTTGATTTTGCACCATTCAATTTGGAATGGAAAATTTCATTATTTTTGAGGAATTTACACAAATCCTCAGCAAAATGTCTCAAAAATAGCTATACAATACATATATCAATACATTTTGTACTTCAATAGAGTAACTTATAAAACTTACATATGAATTTCACTGAAATCTCTTGAATCACAAGAATTTTCAAAAATTACAGATCTTTAAACTTCCTTTTTGAAGCTTTGCAGGAACATTTATAGATGAATTCAGACATTTGGTATAGCAGATAAGTGAAGTATTTGCAAAACCTGAGAAGGACTTCAAATTTCAGCACTGGCCAACAATTCACCGCTTGTTTTGTATTAATTTATTATTAATGTGTCCATATTTTTTGCATGTAATTTTGCTTTATTTGATTATTATTTCACAATTCACAGTAAATTAGTTTTCATTCCATAACATAGTGTGTTGAGGAAGAAATTATGAGAAGATAGATTGAGCATTTTTCGATAACGTGTATTTCACCAAGGAACTGAAAACTTTTGGTCCCTTGAAAAATATACTAACAAAACCGACTCTAAAATTTGTTTAATGTGGAATCTCAAGCGACCAGTATTTTTTTCTTTATTAGACTAAATTCCGATTTTTGTTCACATGACACAAATTTCCGCATTGAGTAAGTTTTAGAGCATTATTATATGTACATATCATATCTATCCAAATATAAGTCTACTCTGAATATACGATGATCCCCTAATTTTGAAAAGGCCTTCTGAGAATTATTTTTGTTTTAACTACTTACTACAGTAGAACCTTAGTAATCCGAACTAACTGGACGTGTGGTCTGTTTGGTTACCCAAAAGTACGTACCGGAGCTATTTACCTATTATTATATCAATACATTTATAGAATTGGAAGACTATCTAAATTTGAGATTAATAAGGTTCAACTGCATTTAATCAAAATAAAAATGCAAATTGTCTAATTGAATAGAAAATTGCCATGTTGATCTGACTTACAACCTGACTATCATTTTCTTGTTCCTTAAAATCATTACAATCTAGTTTTTTGTCACTATCCTGATCTTTACATGTACCAATGTTTCTTTCTTTTTGGCCCTCCTTTCAAGCTGCAACATTTTCAGACTTTTTAGGCCCCCCTCTGTGCATGTTGAATTTGCGTTGTTAGTTTTTCACATAGTGCCACATAAGAACATTCCCGTCTGTCTCGTACTTATTGATTGCCTCTACTTCTTCAGTTATTAGATTGCTAGCACCGTTTACTGTTTGTGTGTTCAAGTTGTGAACTGCACACATATTGTCCCTGTATTTCGCAGGTTAAGTATGAGATAGCGACTAGTTCACAAGGATGGCATGTTTCTGAGATCATCCTTTTGTGTTGTTGGATATAAAAGGCTTTCATGTACCAATGTGATTTTTTTCATTTCCATCACTTGTAAAACGCAGATTTGCATTGGCTGGGTGTCTCACTGAGATGTACAGCTCGTCGAACCAGACCAGCATCGTGTAACAAAATCTCTGCATTCATTTTCACATTACTTACATTGCATTTGATACAATGTCAAATATTTCAGATTCTCTTTTTACAAGCCAATTCAAAAATATTGGTCTCAATCGCCTGGCAAATACACAGTGGATGCCAAGAATACAAACATGAATATGTAGAATGTACCTATTTTAGATACATGCAATTGTTTTAGTCTTTGCAGTTTGCGTTACATCAACATTTATGAGTTTCGTGTCATGGAGAGCCATTGTCATGCCATGTTGCCACATTTCCCTTCAGCTTAAGGGAACACTCATTCTGCGGCCGTAAGGAACGTCTCTGAAATACTAGCGTGTATAAGTGAAAACTTATTTTGAAGAAGCACTTATCACTTAAGAACTCGCTTATCCTATATAGGACGACTAAGAATTCGGCACTAAGTCTCCTTATTTGAATGGCCCCTGAATTCTGAAACACTTTTTATAGAGCTACCGTTTACGATTTAAAAACCAGGTTTTCATTGAATCCTTAAAAACACCGTAATATTGTACATAATATTTTTCAAAATTCAAATCCATCCTTAAGTAGTACAACTCCTATGACATCTATACTGATGAGGAAAATCCACCAATTTCAGAATTTGCAGATGTTTATTTGTTTTAAATGCTTACAAATACTTGTTTAATGTTGTTAATGAGGAAAAGTAAAGCCTGAATATAGGTTGCTGAGTAACTAGGTTTACTCAAGAGGATCGATATAAAATTCATATGATGAATAGTTTGTTTTTCAACTTTTTTTTATGCTGTTCACTAAAAAGGTGCAAAATGATTTCATACGTAAGCCTTGTTTGTATCTGAAGAACCAATTTCAAGAATTTCTTATTATTATCATCTAACGTCTTTTTCAGTGTTTGACAAAGTAAATATTACATTTGATATTAAAAATTAAATACACCGTTTATAACACTCTACCAAACCTGTCTGCCTGCCTTTAAGGATGACATTTATTTGCTGGAAATGCACATACTATCCATCCAATGGGTTCAATGGTTCACAACTAGGGATGCCTTTCTTTTTTCAAGTAAACATCTTGCATATCCATCCAAAGCATGAACTTTCTACTTAGTCAGTTGTTCCTACTTAAAATGAGCTCATTCTTCAGAAAAATTTAAGCATTGTTATTCTTTTACATGCACCCATAGAATGGGGCTGGTTTTACCAGCAAATCTCAAATAATGTGGCATGCAAAGAATTAGGACTATTTGCAATTCAAAACTACAAATTTTGTTCAATACACCATAAAAAGTAAGTATTGCATACTAGTTTCCCATTATTTTCTTACACTGTAGGATTTCCAAGTGTTATTGCCTGAGGTGGAAGGAATCTCAGTTTTTAAGATGGGAATAAAATTAAAATGAAAACTAGGTTTGTCCTTGAAAGGTTGTTGCTTGGTCAATACATTAAAAATATCATTTTAATCGTATCATAACAAAATTCGTAGTAGCTAGAAGACAATAATACACTTTCCAGGATTCATGCAATCACACCAACTTCCAACTTTTAGTTGTCACTACCTACTGTAGTAACAAGCTGAAAGAGAACATTGGAGGTAAACTTTACAGGATGTAGTAATATTTCAGTTTTCCCCCTTTACTGAAGGGCTCACATCAAAACAGATGACATGATTCTTTAAAACAAAAAAATATTTTTTATGATCAATGCAATATTTGAGAATGTTCAGACTGTAAATAATACACAAAGATTAATCCTGAAATCCTGTAAGGCCATTTCCAGCACATCATAGAGATACAAAAGACTGTATAATCACTTCGATTATAAGTCTCTTTTTTAACTATTTAAATCTATACCGAAGAAACAAAAACAAAACTTACTGGATCTTGCAAAAAGCTCAGAACACCATCCATGATCTGTGGTAGCAGGGCTTCCATCTGCTTGTGGCAACCCTCACCGACAGCTGAAAGTGCCATAAGAGCTGCATGCCTGCAGACAAAAAAAAAGTAAATGAAAATAGTGGTGCTAGAACTGCATATACTTTTTTGGTATCAAGGATGCACAAAATGGATTCTGACTACTTGTGCTAGAGGAGGTAATTTACAATATATATAGCAATAGAATTTATCCACTTTTTCATTACCAGGGCCTGGCAAAAAGTTTTTCTGCTCAAAATTCAATTTCCCGGCTCACATTTATATAACTTTTTCTTACAAAGTACAAAAAGGTAAAACGATAGTTTCACACTACTCCCTACAGTATATATAAAGCTAACAGCACTCTTATTTCACCATTATGTGAGTTCACCTGGCAAAAAGTGATTTTTTCAACATAGACATCATTGCACTTTCCTTCAATAAAAAGTGTTCTGAATATAAATTTGTTATATTAATTTAAAAAATTGGGATCCTTTGAGAACAATTTCTGAACAGTTCCGACATTATCACTGACCACAGCCAGGTAGATTTGCTGTCAAATATTTCAGTATCAAGGACCCACAAAACAGACTGACTACACAATTTAGAGGAAGTAATTTGCAAAATAATATTTATTCACTTTGTTACCAGGCTCTGACAATACGTTTTTGCAGGATGGCAGTAATAAGATGTCGGTCTTGTAATGTGCAAAAGCAGCCAATTGAATTTGCACCAATGTTCACTCAAAAATTTCATATTTACAGTTGTTGGCATAAAAAAAGTACAATTTTCACGAGAGCTTTTTCCACAAGATTTTTTCTTTCAAATTATCAAGTTGTAGATCGCTAGAGGGGTCCATAAACAAGAAAATATGGTACTATATTACACATACTATATTACAATGTACACAGTAAGGCAAAAAAGTAATAATAAAAAACAACACTTAAAAATTTCAACACACATTCATAGATTCAAAAATTCAACATACTATCATAGATCAAATACCAACATGTTACAGAACGAGCGTACAAAGGCCAAAGTGTGTGAGAGAAAACTTGTCCCATTCAGAGAATGCACCACTATTGCCTATTTAGTTCAGAAGACTGAACAAGTACATTACGTAAGTTATCTGCCCTTTACCTTCACTCCAGATTTCACTACTCCAGTACTCAGTCATGACATTTTCAAATTATAAGTATTGGTCTTAGAATAGAGAAAGAACATATGTTAGGATCTTTTTAGAAAAAGCAGAACAGGAAGCATTAGTGTAGATAAAATGCAATATACGTATTGTCTGATTTACATATGTCTCCTCATGGTCATGAACTGGAAGAAAGACATTATCATTCAATCAGGAGCTTCATTACAATTATCATTTTTGGTATTGAAGCCCCAGATTAGACGACAATGTCCCCTCACCTTCCAGTACATAGCCTTGAGGAGACATTTCAATTGGAGTATACCAATAGATCTTGATTAAGTAGTCTAAAATTTTTATGAAGTAATGTATGCCTTGTTGTTACACATTGAACTAAATTAATTCAAAAACGGACAATTCAATTTACCTGTATCTCCAGTCAGCATTTGCTAACATACTTGGTATGTTTTGTTCTATATGAGGCATCATTGTTTTTCCACCAAGACCACATGCCAAGCGGTCTAAAGCTGATTCTGCGACAACAGTATTGCTAAACAATGAATAAAAACAATGTTAATAATTTAGGAAGAGTAATTTCTCAAAATTTCAGTACCTAGAATATTACTGAAGTACATGCTGGAAACTGTCATGCCTCAGTGTCACAGGGGTGTTCTTATTTTTAATGCAACATTGATTTAATTTTATACTTGTGAACCTTGTTTCAGGATGGCATGGTTTTATAACATAGTTTTACAATTTTGATTCACTCATTGAATAGAGATCAAGTTTTATGCATTAATTAAAAATTAAATAAAAGAGGAGGGAGGAGGAGAATATTCAAAATACGCCAACATTATTGTGTAGAATTTGTAAAATTTTCATTTGTTAATGTAAAACTGGTAGTACAGAATTATTGTACAAGTAACAAGCATCATTTTACATAATACAGTTCTGAACTATTACCAGTTCTACATCGTGTAGTTTTCAAACAAAACTTTTTTGAAATTCACTTTCAGGTTCCGAAAAAGAAATTTAGTAAAACACATGTTGTATACACTTTGCAAAGGTCCACAAAAGAATGGTGTAAATTAGAAAGAAAATTTAAGCAGTGGGAACTTACTTTCCCTAATGTAATAACAAAGAATGTTAATTCCGTACATGAATTAAACATACTAAGGGTTAATGAAAAATCCTTGCATTTCAAAGTTCACTAATTCTGTCTCCTACTTGTTTTTTCTAGAATGCAGGTTTGTTATTGAAACCATTTTATGTCCAAATGAACACTAACTTTTTTTATACCATACACAAAAAACGAACACATTATTGTACCTAGAAAGAAAGTGAAAAAATTAGCTACTATTAAGAAAACATTCGTGTGTGAAGTGCGCATTTATGTTGTCACGTATTATTGGCAAAGCAACGTCTATTCACAAAACAAATATCACCCAGCTCTGAACAATAAAATGTATTTTCTCTCACAACAAATAGTCAAGTATTTCTAGGGCTTGGTGGAAATAAACATACTAGATCATTAGTTATCATATTTTCATTTACATTTGCACTGTTGGGGAGGGGAAGGAGAGGGGATTTTACAATGTGAACATAGATAAAAATTGACATTAATGGCAGGAAAACCTAAAATTCTGGGAATGAAAGTGAGATTTTACTGTACATTACTCTTCAAACTCAATGATCATTATATGGAAAGTTCCTTTTGGAACTGGGCCATTTTTTAATATGGACATCCATAACTAGGATTTAGCATCTTCTAGACAGTCAAGCAGTAAAGAAAATTCTACAATGGCAATAAAAGTGACTATGCTTCCATTGTTTAATACCTATCATTATCTTCATCTATTATCTCGTCTGAAATGCTCCACTCAGCATCATCTTCCAAATCAGTCATCATCTTCAACACCAAAGGAATAAGAACTGGGATATGTTTTCCAGCAACTTTTCGCAGCATCGCTGGTGCCGTTTCAGACAGAGTAACTGTCACTTCCAAAGCAAGATGTCTCCACGAGTCAGAAATATCCTCATTGGACAAGACCTGAAAGCAGTTAACCATGCAAATCAATAGTACACGATTCCTGTAACTTCTATTTTGATCAAACAAAATTACTTTGATAACAATAAGAACAATTAGTTTACAGGTGTTGATAACCCTTGTAGTACACTCACACCTTTACAAATAAGGCAACTGGACAACAAAGTAATTTCTACTCTACAGTGGGACCATTCCAATATATTACAACTTTGTTTTGTTCAATTTACACATCAATCATCACATTAAACAATATTTCTTACCTTCATGCAGATATCAATAATAGGATCCAAATGGGATCGCAAAAATTTTGGACATGCTTCACTAACATCGATGACGGCTTTCAAAAGAGAATCATCTTCTTGTTTCTCAATGCTTTCCATCAGCACTCGCACCATTGCTGGTAGAAGATCAATGAAATGTTTCTGGATTGGAGTCTCTTTTTCATGTAACATCACAAATGCACAAACAGCTCTTACGGCCTGGAACCGAACCTATCAAAAGAAATGCATTAAAAACCTTTAAAATTTCAGTATAATAATATATTTTGAAAGTATTACTAAGGTCAAATCATGATATGTACATATACATTGCTGGTCAAAAATTTTTGGACACCCAGAGTAACAAACCAGGGAAGATTTAAGACTGAAGTCAGTAGGCAACAGAACCACATTGGCCAAAAAGACAAATAAATCTTCATCTCTTCTACTTAGGAATTCTTTAACCGGAGAGAGACTTCCAGGCCTTTTAGGACAAGGGAAGTCCGAAGTAACCCCTCCACTAGATAAAGGTTAAGCTGAGAGGGCCAGTACCCCATTCTTGTATAATTAGATTTACTTGCAGTGTCCAGGAAAACTGCTTCAGAATATAAATTACTAAGACAACCAAGGCAAGTAAATGGACATTAGAGGATCTTAAAATTGCTACTTGGAGTCAGAGTATAAGAGGGAAACTAACTAAACTGGCAAGAGTTTGAGAAGAATTTTTTTGATTTAGCAGTAGTATGAGACAGAAAAGAAATTAAAAGATATGACAATATGATGAAAAGTATGACATGACTTAATTGACAAGTTTAATTGACACGTTTAATTGACTTAATTGAAGTTTTAGGCAATTTTGATAAATTAATAAATTGGTAGAGCTAATAACAAAAATATACAGAGTCAAATTATTGAACTGAATATTTTTTCCTCCACTTCTTCACTCCCCTGGAAAGCACCAAGCTAAAGGAAAGTTTGATATTTAATGACTTAATGGTGTATCATGGTTTGTAGACCAGGTAATGGAAATTTACACATGGTTAATGGTATAATGGGATACAGCAAATACGTAGAGGCCCTGCAGAACCAATGGTTGCAGTTCCATAGTCATGCTGCATTTGCTCCATACCACAATAGGAAAGAAAGTTGAAAAATATTAAGACAGACATCTACGAGTGCTCCAAAGCGCTTCAAATATCCCTGACATGAATTCCATAGAAAATGTTTGATCTGTAGTTAAAAGATTGAAGAAAAGAAGGGGATAAAAATTAGCTCACAAAACCATAATTTGCATCAGGCAGCATCATTGAGAGAATGGATTAAAAATATATTTTCAATGTGCCTCACAACAAATATGTTGGATTTTTATAAGGGACCGCTTTGCCAGCTACTGCTGACAACATAACCGCGGGTTATGTCCATGCACCCAATTCGTCAATACATTTGTTTAATTTGCTCATCAGTACATTGTTTTCATCACTATCTCTTGCAATGCCATCACTACATGACATTCATCTATTTCCCGACCTGTCAAACTGGTTCCATCTTAGAGCCACTCCTTTATAATTGTGGTTAAGAGCATGTTTACAAAATGCTGGTAAAATACCCTTGACTGTAGCCACAAGAAAAGAAAAAGAAAGTGAAGTTATGTGGTTAAGAAACTGGAGACACCACAGGTCCCTGAATGGATGACCATCAGGGAACCCTAGAAAATAACAGCATGGAGCCCCTGGCTAACAAGGATTAAAAAGCAATGACATGTGACTGAAGACTACTACTCACATTCAATGCCAAGACTACTTGGAACATTGTTACGCAAGTACCAGAATTAAAATATTAGAAGCCTATATACATAGTCAAGATCTATTCTTGTAAATACATTTTAACCTCATTCAATAACTTTGTCTAAAAATTTGGTCACCTCTGCACCAATTCAAACAAAAAACATTCAACTTGTGGTTCTTTATAATAAAAAGAATTGATACTTTCACACCATTTTTATGTAATAATTAGGGAGAGAGTTTTTATGCCCTCAAAAAAACATGAAATATGCATATATGATCTAAAACTTCTCAAATACATACATTAATATTCAATGAAAAAGGGAGAAATGTGCTTGGAATGAAATATTATATTTTTGTGCAAACAATATAATCCATCTTATATCGTAGGAGAAATAATTGAAATAAATATTCACCTGAGTGAAGTACATTGTATGTACTGTTGCATTTTTCAAATTTGCAAAAAAAAAAAGCATATCAAGAAATATCCTAGGTTTACACAAGTATTTTCTTATCTATAGGAGGAGGGGAAAAAAACAAAAACAAACAATCGTGTGAAGCTCTTTCTACGAAATGAATACTTAAATAAATAGATTCCATTAAAAGATGAAACGTTTTACCGATAAGTCAAAACGAAATATTTTCAAAAAATGGTTCTAAAATTTCACGAATATGTACCAATAGGGAAATATAAACTAACATATTAATCTACATAGCATCTGATTCTAATCACATGCCAAGTAATTTTACTATGCCCTGATGCAATGGACTATACAAAATTACAGAAATCCTTCGCTTTTCGAATTAAATACATCATTGTGTTGGTTCATTTTGAGACGAAGGTAATATGATTCTCCCATTTCAAATCATGGGATATACCCAAGAACATTCTGTGGCAATGTTGTACCAAGGGAGAGGAAGTAGCAGTTTCCAAACACATCAAGGCGCCTGGTCAGATCATAGTGCTTGGTAGAGTTTTAATGGCAAAGCAAAACTTACTAGCAAATATCTTAGTGTAGTAAGCATAACCATTTCAGTTCAGTAATTTCATTTCCTTTCTCTACCATGTCTGGTTATACAGAATACAGAACACCAGTGGGCAGCAATATACTTTGGAGCCCTATTCTGGACACTGATACTTTGTACTTACAAATCCAAGCCACTACTTGCTTTTGCCTGCCATTTCTATTCACAACCCTCAACCAGATAACCTTCAGAATACATTACCTCATATCCCACGTTTTCCAAGAGAGACTGTTGAAGCATTTGTTTAATAAGTTCCAAATATTGAGACTGTTGATTTCCAAAAACACCAGGAACAGATCTAAAATCATGACACTTCAGTATATATGTAATTCATTTACTTATGTATAACAATTATAAAAATCTGACTTACGCAAACATTCTTAATGCACTTTCCTTAAGCACAGGCAAAGGAGAGTTAGCGCATTCAAACAGAAATTGAAGAAATTCAGGCCATTGATTATTTCCATCATCATCTATTAAACTGCGAGCTACTTCTGCAGCAACTTCACAAACTTTTTTCCGGATACCTTCACTCTGTTCCTGCTGAACAGCTACAAGGACCTGCTCCTTCAATTGACGCTGTGCCTCTGGTGGAAGCTGCAATTGAAATACAAATCAACTTTCCCTCTTAATTTAAGTTTTAGAGTGATGTTTAATTCAACATACCTTTGGGTAAAATTCATTAAATTCAGCAGAGAAAAGGCGACGTAATAAAACTGCTGCCATTTGGCGTGCATCCTCAGTGAACGCTCCATTTCGAATAGCAGCAAGTAGGAGGGTGATCTTAGATTCCACGGGGAGGTTGTTGTATGCATCCTATTTCAAAAATTTCAAAATTAGACAATACAGTAACTCAGAATATATTAGTCGCTAAACCTATGAAATGGTTTCATTTCTCCAAACAAAAATTGAATTCATACAATCAGATTTAAAAAATTCATTCCCATGTGGGAATGGTATTTCAGTCTAATCCATTAGATAATGTTAGAAAGATGGTTGAATTCCACCACAAACCAAATATTTTGTAACCATTACATTTACTGTAAACAACAGATCCAAGAAACTTCTGATTTACACTCATTCCTCAATATTTGGATGCACGTACACAGTACTTACATTTAAACTTATTTCTTACTAGCCCTGAATTAATATTAATTATGTCAAAAATATTTGCCCTCATTAACAGTGAAAAATTTTCAGAAAAAGAATTATCCACGGTAGCCAGAATAAATGGGGTAAATTTTTTCCCCCTTTTCATTTTCGACAGTATCAACTAAAAATGTCAAATGCACGATTCTCGCATTAGTATCAACGATTCAATTCCCTTTTTAAAGTATTACTTCAAGTACACATGGTAAGCATTCACATTTAACACAAATATACAATTTTGACGGACAAAACAAAGGTTAGATTCGGCAACGTGTTTCGCCTTCGCAACTGTTAACACACAAAATCCAGTGAAATAAAGTAGTGTCATTGTATGCAAACACAGGTAGTACGCAAGTTCGTTTCGACATTTTCACTGTCCAGACTATACAGTTCACCTGTAGTATTTCCCATTCGCGGCTTTTCTGTCTTCTTTATTCACATGGCTCCAGAAAGGGAGACGTGCCAACGTGTACGACGAATTACAATAGTTCTGAAGTCCTACATGATTTCAACATGGGTCCTCTACCTTACCAAAAACTTAAATTATCCAATCTTTATAACAGCTCACCTCGGCTTGGGTTCGGATGTTATTATCAGTGCTGAGAAGGCTACTCAATAATTGTTGAAATTGCTCTTGGTCTGCCGCCATCTTCACCTAGACCCGCAAGCCTACAAGACTGCGCATACGATCTGCGATTCGCGGGTTTTTCACCTACAATGCTATCTATGTCATACAGACTGAACTAAAGAGATGAGATTTTTGTAGATACTACCGACGCATGATCTTGGTATTCACAAAATCGTATGATCTTTTCAAAAAAAATTTTTTTTTCATTTACAAGGACTTAAAGGGGAAATTAATTTATTCTTAAACTCTGAAAATAATTTAATTCTAATATTACCCATAAATAATCAAAACTACTCTCGACAATGTTACCACGATGGCGGCAATATTTTTGAATTGTTTCTATGGAGACTTCCAAACAATGTCACTCTGTATGTTGATTTTTGATGAGTTTACGTTCTACAATTTGTAGTTGTATTATTATCTGGACACCTGTTTTGTTTTGCATTTATAGTGAAAGATGGATAAAGTGTTGCCTCTATTACCAGGAAACTCGTTCAATGAAAACGTAAGGGCTTCAAATACTTCCTCAAAAATAATATTTTTGGATATATATACCACTTTTCAGAGTCAAACATTATATTTGAAACACTTTACTTTCTTTCTTAATGGAAGGCCTCTCCTTTGGGAAATTAATTAATGAATACAAAACTATTTTATGATAAAATCTCACTTGAAGACTGCTTTCTTGACAAAATTAAATTTTGTGGGATAAAAAAAATATAAAAAAATAAAAACTGTCATGAATGATTCAGAAACATTGAGAAAATGTTGTGTCTATAAGTTATAAGTATAGAAATTATTATATCTGGGTTTAATTGAAAAAATAGTAAATATTATTAATACGAAACAGAAAAATTAAAAAATTCTTTACCTGGATTAAACCTGGATTTAAAATCACTAGCAAAGAGAACTTCAGTATCTTGTTATCAGATTCATTCATGATGTATATGAAACTTACTCAATAAATTGTTTTATTTCTCAATCTAATTTATTTTTAATAATGTCATTGGTATAATGTGGCTGACAAATAATACTGAAAAAATTGTATTAATCTGAATAAATTAATATCAATAAGTCTTGATATACTACATCAAATGCCTCAAAAAGGTTTTATTTGACTGTGTACTAATCTTAGGTATGAATTAAGTGACAACGTCTTTGAATTATGCAATCAAAATTGATAGACTTGTTGATTTATTTAAATAATTAATGTAAATGTAACTAAAGTATACTTTTTAAAAATAAATTGAATTAAAAAATGCATCTGGAATGGCAAAGAATTTGTGAAGTATCAGTATCTCTTATGAGAGAGAAACCACAGCTACCATCAACAACTACATTTAAATATTGCAACCTCCTGATCCCCCTCTAGGAAGTAAAGTATCCCCTGATGGAAAAGTATTTATTTCTCTTTTCCAGAAATGAAATGAAACCATTTTAGGCTCTTCATTAATGATATCTGCATTCTGAAATGTTTGAGTCATAAACATTCTGAATGAAGGAACTTGAACATTCCCAGAACAATCTTGGGATTAATTCAGACTGTGTTGCATAAGCAAACATGTTTTTTGATTTACTCATTGGTTCTGCAATGCATTATCTCCTGGAGCTTTAAATTTCATCCTCTGGAGAAAATTGCAAATTTGCAACCCGAGTTTGGATTAACAACCATCTCTAACATTGGAAACTCATGGCTTTACATTTTAAATGTAATGTGTAGAATAAACACCTCTTACAATGACTTTAATGTGAATGTCAATATTTCACATATAAAAGACCATAAAACTATAATTTGTTAGATTTTGCATAGAAATGTGGTTTTATTGTTATTTATTATTAAGAAAAGCAATTTTTGGACATTGTATTATAATATGTATTATGAAACTTAAATAAAAATCTTCTTCTTTCTTTTTTGTTTAGGCTGTAGCCTGACATTTTAACCAACGGAAATGTATTTTAAAACAACTGATATTTCATGTAACCTCTTTCATAAGTTTACATTCTTCATTGTTCGAACTACTATAAATTTACAAAGTTTCTTTACATCGTGATCTTGGATGACCGACCCTTCCTTCCTTCAGGCCTTCGGTCTCTTGCCACCTTCACCAGTCCATCTTCCTCCATTCTGACTACGTGGTCATTCCATTGTCTTCTTCTTTCATGCATTCAGTCTCATATGATGTCTTTTTGGCAGGTTCATCATATGTTAGCATTGTGTTCTTTATCTCTTAGCGATTTGTTTACTATTTTTCTTAACACTCTCATATCTATTACTGCCATGATTTGGCATATTTTCTTGGAGTCTGCTCTGGTTTCAGCTGCTTATGACAGTATGAGTCTAATTACTGCCTTATATATTCTGATCTTAGCTTCTCTTTTATGATATGGGTTATACCATATTAAGTGGTTGAGACAGCCTGCTATTCTATTTGCTCTTATACTTTGTTCCTTTGCCTCATTTAAAGATCTACCATCTCTGTCTATCACTGTGTATTTTATTTCCATTTTCTATTGAGTGTTCTTTCAAAGCCTTTTTGCATTTTAATGGCTCTTTCGAAATTGTCATGTATTTAGTTTTTTTCTATTGATATGTTCATGTTGTATGCTTGGCATATTTTAAACAGTTGAAATAAGAGGCGCTGTAGATCATCTTCTTAATCATCAAATACTAAAATGTTGAAAAGCTTTTTATAGACAGAATTTGTCTGGCCTGAAGTGAAAGTGGTGAAAGTCACAACTTGCTGTTATGGAGAAAGGCAATGAAATATTTTTATTAATCCATATTTTAATATTGTTCATTTTATGAAATATTTGTGTAGGGAAGGCACAGTAGGTAACACTGTGTATTCACTTCAATTAAAGAGTCTAGTCTATAAAACAGTGTTACTTGTGTATTTAACATTAAAAACTGTGTGATGTACTGCAGAGAGAAGTGTATTCTAAGCACTTTTCTTAAATTTTAGAATCCCTTCCCTAATTCATATTCAAGTTGAATTAAGAATACAGGCAGAAACAAGCATTTTCGACCAGAATTGAAGAGAAAATATTCGCTCTCATGTAATAAAAACTATTTGCAAAGGCAAATCAGCTACAGATTTTCACTATTATTCCGCAACATGAAGGGATCATTTACTTCCACGAGAACAAGGGGAATGATCATTTGAAAAACTATATTGTTCACTGAAATCTAGAAAACATGCACAGAGAGTAAAGTTTCATTCATGTTCAGAAGAAAAACAAGGGGCCCTCTCAGCAATCACCGAAAGGATCAGAAAAAGTGAATGAAAAAACTGTTCGAGATGGGGGTCATTGTCCCAGAAGCAAAGGGAAAATACGTGTTACAGGCATATTGAGTCTTTTACAATTAAATAGTACAAGGGGTAATTAATACATTAAATAATGTTGTAAAAATAAATATAACTTTCCTTTTTGAAGCTCAGTATAGTTTCTAATTGTACAGAAACAGTTATGTAGCAGAAAAGATTTTACTTGGCACTTCAAATTCTGTATCGCTTTTAATCACTTAATGTCATCTGGGAATGTGTTGTAAAAGAATGCACACGTTTTTTTTTGGTATATTTTTTGTACTGAGCTGCTTATACTGACACAATGAAAATGATTACTATGTCAAATAGGGCCTACTGTGATTGTAGACACCTGTATTTGCTGGAAATTCATTTCCAATCTTGGGTAAATCACTTTTGACAAAAATCACTGAAAGAAACTTTCAAGCAAAAATATTTTCAGATAATCATTAAAAGAATAAAATCATATTGCAGCGTGAGCTGAGTGTAGTCTGCAATATTGCACAGAATCTATAATATGACACATTCAACCAAAACATTTTGAATTTCCCCTCGCAAAATTTGTCTCTGGATCTGCCCCTGCTTGTGGGTGGAATTTGCTTATTATTATTATTATGTTACTTAGACCAATTATAAATTGTCTACAAATAAAACATGCACCAATATTTTTAAACCGTTAGTTTCATATTCAAGACCTTTGTTGACAGATGTTGCACAAAGACAACTATCTAGATGATTGATTGTTAGTGTGAATTATTATAACCTTAATTGTGCTTTAATTGTTATGTAAAACATTCTAGCTCCAGCCAACTATTTTGTGAAGTACGAAAAGTCCCAAGCAAAAGAGGAAATTGGGTTACAGTAACGAAGCAGATGGATTATTTTCTCTGCATCTCCATTTTTTCATCAACTAAATTAATTTCATGACACCAACTATTCATCCAACCATTCACCAACTAAATGAATTTCATGACCCAAGTCTTTACTTGCACATGTGTGAGAATATAGAGTGAGTCTTGCTTGGCACACAATGTTTAAAGTGGATAAAGAGTTTTCTTCCTAGATGGCACAATAATGAATAATGTTGCTTAAATAATTTTTCCTTACTGAGTGTCATTTTACCTAGCTATATCAATAGTTCTTTTCTTTTTCAAAAAATGTTTGTTGCTAATACTTCTATATATTTGTAAATCAATAATAGCTACATGTTATTGTTCATTTGAATAGTGATTTGTCAAATTTCTCCAATAGTAATGAACCTGTCAAGGGACAGGACGTTATCTCCCATAAATATTTTATGTTGTTATTACGTGAACTAAGATACCATTTTAGACCTTTTAAAATCCTGCCAAGTAATTGATTCTTAGGTAACAATTCTAAAACAAAAAATTGAAATACAACCTTTGGATACTTTTATTTACTCACCAAATAAACAAAATGTATACCATTAAAAAAACTGCATTATTTAATATTCACTTAAGTTAAAAACAATCCTATTTTTACATTTCCGAAATTGTACCCCACAAAATGGTTAAACACTTCAAATTCTTCACTCTCTCAATTTCTTTGACTGCTTTTACAATTTCTTTGAATGTTCTTCAATTTCTTTGAATGAACTCAACAATGTTTGCAGAATTAGTGATAAACTAAAATGCTAAGATATTCTCAACTCATAGTAATAAATCAGTGATATTACAAAATGAGGGTTTTCCTGAGGCATCTGAAACAAGAATCAAAATATTCATTAATGGAGTGAAACAGAAGGAAGACTTACAGTTAAATCTCTTTAGGAGTTGGAAAAAGT